CCGCCCCCACCTTTTTTTTTTTTTTTTTGAGACAGGGTCTAACTATGTAGCTCTGGTGGCCTTAACCTCATAGACATCACAGCCTCCCCTTTAACCCTGAGATTAAAGGCATGCCCTACCACACCTGCCTTGGACTTCCCTTCTTAAAGCTTTTAGTCAGCTTTCCCGACAAGCCCAGATTTAAGAGCAGGAGCACTGAAGTGAGAGTTACTTTTGGCTGCTGCTATTTCAGGTTGAAATAGATGGCTGTTTAAAGAATACAATGTAGGGTTGAGGGAGGTCGGGGGGGGGGGGGGGAGCACAGGAGCCTCCCAGAAATGTACAAGTCCCTCATATGATATGTTGCAGCATCAGCTTTTATGTTTTGCATATTTGCCTGTGCACTTTAATTAATCTTTAGAATACTCATAGCACTGATATCATGCAAATAGTGGTGTCAGTAGTGTTAAATGCATTTCTTTAGGAAATGATAGCAAGAAAAGTTCAGTACATATTTTTCTTTTCAAATATTTTCAAATTGCGGTTGCTGGAATCCTCAGATACAGAGCCCGTGAATATGGAAGATTGCTTTTTATTTCTGTTGAGTGAGAATTAGTGTTGATAATGTGTTAGAACATTTTTTTTTTTTTAATGTTGTGTGGGTGTTGCATTTCATTGGGTTTTCCTTAATTGCCCAGGGTGGGTGTGTGTCACAGAGCCCTCTGAGATCAGACATGCCTTGTTGCCTGATGCCTGATCTCAGAATCACATGCAAGAACTGTTCTACATATGAATGTAGTCATGTGATGTTAATCGGAATTCTGTTTTAGGCTTGAATTCAAATGGTGTGAGGGTTCAAAATCCCACAATGGGGGAGGAAGGGCTGAAAATATCTTCTAGTGACTTAATAACTAAATTTTCCAAATGAGGCTTTTATGAGATTTTGGCTTTACCAATTCTGTAGTGTCTCCTTTAGCATTTAATGCCCCAAAATTCATAAATCTCAGGCTAAGAGTTTAAGAAATAATTATGTTTCCTCTTAACATTTTTTTTCTATCTTTATTATCCCCCGGTTCAATTTTAGGAAAGAAAAAAAGTACATTGACTGTTGCTGGAAAAATGTCACTGTGGGGGACTTCATTCGCCTCTCGTGCAACGAGATCATCCCTGCAGACATGGTCTTACTCTTTTCCACAGACCCTGATGGCATTTGTCACATCGAGACTTCTGGCCTTGATGGAGAGAGCAATTTAAAGCAGAGGCAGGTGGTGCGTGGGTATGCAGAGCAGGTAAAGAATGTCTTCTCCGCTGGTCTTATGGATGCTTCCTTCTTCCTCAGGAAAGGTCTGGGCTCATCTCCACAGGGTAGATAAAGAGATTTTTTAATTTAATTTTTACCACTGGCAAAATAGAATCACAGAAGACTTAATCCATTTGCAGATATCAGGGGACGTGTGTTGTGTTGTATAGATAATAGGATAAAAATGACTTTGGAGTTCAAACACTTGGGTCTTCGATCAGATTGTGTGGCCCTGCATTAGAGGAACCCAGCAGAGTTCATTTGCAATAGAAATAATCACCTGCCAACTTCATTTTCTTACTCTTGGAGTTTTATACTTTGTGTTTTCACAGTTGTTCCTAAAATGTCTAATTACCTATATTCCAAAGCTTTTAAAAACACTATGGTTTCTTGTGCCACGAGTTTCTAAACCATTCATCTTCTGTAATAAGGGAAATTAGACTGACACAGATTTGGATAAATAAATTTTTGCTCTGCCACTGATAGGTCTTTTATTAACAAAGTAATGATCTTGTGAAGTTATTCAAATATGTTATGACTGAGCTTCCTCATATTAGCATGGAAATGATGTCTCTTTCTTAGCATCATTGCTTGACTCATGTGAAAAACATGCTCATGGCTAAGTATCACTTTCGTTTCTCTTTATGTCTGGAAGCACCTGAGATAAAGGATTTGAAAATTTAAGGTTTTTTTTGTTGTTGTTTGTTTGTTTTTTTAAATCTGAAAACTGGAAGTACTAATAAGTTGGAATGTATTTAATACATAAATAAAACTATATTAACCTCCAGTACCTTAGCGTTTCATCTCATATTGGACCCCTCCTTTCATCTGTGAATCTACGTGTAGATCCCTCTGTGGTTCAGCTGCCTTTGAGCTCTGGGTCTCTGTCACTTTTATAAGCAGCCCTACTCCTGTGATTCTGACAACATCTTGCACAACTTAGAATTCTGTTACAGCACTAAGTCTGTGTTAGGCTACTGCTAACAGGCACACTTTGGGTTCAGTTCTGCATGAACACAGCCACTTCCTTTGTAATTTGCAGCTTGTTTTGAGAACTTGGACAAATTATTGGAGCGTCTGTGTCTCCTCAGCTATTCTTAGGCCGGATTGTTAACCACTCTTGGGACTGTGAAAAAGAAATGAGTTAATATAGTTAACATACATACTGTAGATTCTAGCACATTAACAAATTCAATAGGCATTATTAACAAATCAGATCATATTATCATATGATTCATGTTTTTCATATTTGCTACAGTGATATGAAAATATTACTCAAACAGCTATAGTCAAACTCTTTCTCCAAGAAGATAGTCTGTAGCCAGGCCAGTCTGAACTTCACTAATAGGAAACCTCATAGGAAACTCATAGCAAACCTCCTGCCTTAGCCTCCTAGTGCCGGAATTACAGGCATGAACCACCAAACCCAAGCTGGTGACTTGTTCTTCTAAAGCCACATCTTCAAGACAGTGTTTTTAGAGTCTTGCCTGCATCCCCATTGGTTTCATAACAGTGCTACAAAAGTATCTGTTTGTTCCACTAGGGATTTTGTGAGATACTTATGTCCTGCTTATTTGGGAATTTTGTTCATGAACTTGGCCTGAGACTGAATACTTATATACTCCCAGGTATTGATTGCCATGTGCTCTGACTCTAGCAGACCATCAGGTTATAGGTAATAACAACAACATGTTTTCCATACCTTGCTGACACTAATGTTTGCTGCATGAGTGGAAGCTCTGATGAAGAGCCCCGATGCACTTCTACACGTAACTTGTACCACATGATTAATCTGAAAAAGCTCCTTCTGTTTCTTCAGAAGGAGCATTCTAAGGTCATTCTGATCCATTATCCCATAATTATGTCTGTATTGTCTTCATCCTAGGAGATGTACAGCATACACTCTGAGGCAAAAAGAAATGCCTTAAGTATTATATGTATTAAAGAAAGTTGACCTTTAAACATGATACAATGTTTAAATATCGAGATTTAATCATGAATTCTTTCTCTTTTGTGATGTTGGCAAAATATTTTTAGGACTCTGAAGTTGATCCTGAGAAGTTTTCCAGTAGGATAGAATGTGAAAGTCCAAACAATGACCTCAGCAGATTCCGAGGCTTTCTGTGAGTGATATGTAATTTACCTTTGTGGGCATGAAAGAAGTTATACTTAGTTCAGAAATGCTTTTGTGTATTCATATCCAATGCAAATCATTAGAGGCTGAAGGTTTGGCCATCTATCATTTGGTATACCTAAGTAATTTAATCAGTGCTCATCTTCATGTATAATAAAACAACATAAATAATAAAACCCTCTAAAGGTATTCCTATAATGTCTTCCAATGCCATAAGAATATCTTTGGGGGCTGTATGCATTAGACTGGTCTTGAATTTCCTATGCAGCCCAGTCTTGCCTTGAATTTCTTGTTCTTCCATCTCAGTGATGAGATATGCATCACCTTGCCCACCTTCAGGAGCTCCACATTAAACCTAATAGATGTTAAAAGTTTGGAAGGAGATATTTTTGTAGTCATAAATGATATGCTAGGATGGTTTTCATGGGAATTAGAATAGCAGGTGTGCAATTCTGGTTGGAAAGAGTTAGTCACTGATTTGGAAGCTGGTGTCAGACTGTGGGAAACCATAGCAGTAATTCCCAATACTTAGAGTGCCATCCTCAACCCTTTGCAAAGACACCTGTAATTTGGGGTCTTTCCCAATCTCAAACCTGGCTCTGGCACTTAGATATTTTGTTACTCTAAGCCAACAAATACTCATTAACTTTATTTTTACAAGAAAAAAATAAACATAATTGTTAGAGAAAATTTCCCACCTAGTTTCCTATTTTTAAAGAACAACATTGTCCTGATCTCATTTCCTAGACACTTAAAGCATATTAAGACATTCAGGAAAAAGCTAACGTTCCCCGTGGGCAAACTCTCCCTGTGTGGGTTCCGCAGCAAGTGTTGTATCAGTGAGGACTAGCTGATGCACACTTACAGGTGCCATTTGTAAATGTGAACTCTTAAACTTAACTTCCTCATCTATAAGACCAGAGAGTTGTAAACCCATCACTTTGGAGGCTGTGACAGAAGGATTGTCACAGGTTCAGATCCAGCCTGGGTTTGACAGCAAATGTGTGACCAGCTTGGGCTAAAGATAAAGAGTTAAGCTCCTACTCACAATCCGACATCCAAAATAAAATGAATGAACTGACAGAGTTGAACTATTCCTTTGCATAGAACCCAGGTAGAACAAAGACTGTAAATTAGGGAGCAAAATGACCAACCTGTTTTCCTCTTTCTTCTCAAAATGAAACTTTTGTAGGGTTTTTACTTAATCTCTTTGCAGTTCCAGACAGTCAGGGCAGTAGGTTTATTGACAATTTTTACTTGTAAGAAACAAGGGCAGTTTATAGACTAATGGTTGTTGCTTAGAAAACTATCAGAATTTAATGGTAAAGTGAAGATGACATTTTCTCAGTGTGTGAAAGGTGATTTCTGCTTGTTTTTGTAAATATTTCACTGATTTTTTTTTTATTTCACTGATTTTTCCCTGCACTCTTATTACTGTCATAGTTTAGTCAAGTAATTACTTTGATAAATTTGAAACCGGTAATTACACAGATTTCCAAATGTGTGAAAGTGGAAAGCAAAGTGCGATGAACACCCAGGTTTCACCCCAGCCTTGGCCACTTCACAGTGGTGCTAACTTTGTGCCATTTTCCTACTTCCTTCCCTGGCCCTGTGACACATAACTTCACTTTGAGTACATCACTATATACTCAGAGTAGATAAGGATATTAACAAAAGCATAAAGCCTATTATCACACTTGAGAAATATTAAAACCATTCTTTAATCTCGTTTAATACCAGGAATTTGTTCAAATTTTTCCAACTCATGAGAAAAATGTTTTCTGACAATTGTCCAATTCAAAACAGGACCAAATTAAGTTTAGCTAATTATATTACATCTGGCTAATCAATTTCTAATTTCCTATCCCAAGAAATGGGGTCATTTACCCCACTCTAGGCTGAGTGGTTTGCCTCCTCCCTGCCTTGAGCCTTGTCATCTCCTTCTGTTCTCCCATACTATTGTTTGAGTGAGCCAGGTCATTTTTGCTGGCCTGGTTCACTCACCACCTTTGGGTTTGGCCAACTGTCTCCTTCTAGTGAAATTTACCTTGTTTCTCTGGCCCTTTTATCTTGTCAGCTGTCCCTTGGCACTTTCAGAGTCTGTTGGATGAATTAGATTCTGTCTCTAAAAATAGCAAGAGGTACACATACATATGTCCATCCATACATCCATCTGTCCATATATACATACAAACAAAATATTGTTTATGATTCTAAAGGTGTCACAGAGCCTCAGAAGCCACAGACTTCAGGTTGCAATTCTCTGATGAAGAATCTGGGTCCCTTACTTCCTTTCCCATAATTTGAAGGCCTGTGATATCCCCTGTCCCTTTATCAGATTGGCTATGTCAGCCTTCCTCTTTGATTATACATTGTCCCATCTGTCTTTCATCCAATGGCTTAAGCAACCACCAGTTGTCTGTGCCCAGCAGGATTCTTAATTTCAGTCAAATCAAAGCTACTTCTTTTCTAAATCAAGACTGTTTCCCTCACCACCGATTAAGTTCTCGAATGCAGTGTGTCCTAGAAAAGCAGGATCTTTACTGAGAGTATTGTTGAATTCTTGCAGTAATGGAATGTGACAGATAACAACTTCTAGAAGTAATGGGAATTTGCAATTTGTTGCCACTTTCTGGTACCCACAGCAGGTTAACTCCCACAGCAGAGGCAAATGAGCCAGAGACCTGAAGCCTTTCCTCTGAGCTGTCAAACTTACCACCCGGGTATAGAACCTTCCAGGATAAAGACTGCTGTTTTGCCTCCCTACCTTTGCCATTTAAAGGGAAATCCATATGCTGCCTCTCTTCCAGGGAACACTCCAACAAAGAACGTGTGGGCCTCAGCAAAGAGAACTTATTGCTAAGGGGATGCACCATTCGAAACACAGAGGCTGTTGTAGGCATTGTGGTCTATGCAGGTTCGTTCTCCTTCTGCCTTTGTCATGTCCTCTGTGCTTCCTATGTGTTCACATTCTTCATTTACTCAAAAGGGAACCTACAGAAGGGGAACACCCTGATGAACTTAACCACCGATCCTAGTTTCCCCAAATAAACCACAGATTAAACTGACAAAAGATACGCAGCCACATTTGATTACATTGTCAGCCAGAGAGATTTTTAACCGTGATGCTTACTGTTTGCTTTTGCTTTGTACATTTTCAGACCTACTCTTCTTCCCATGTAGGTCATGAGACCAAAGCGATGCTGAACAACAGTGGACCACGGTATAAGCGTAGTAAATTAGAGAGAAGAGCAAATACAGATGTCCTCTGGTGTGTCCTGCTTCTGGTCGTAATGTGTTTAACTGGTGCGCTTGGTGGGTAAAATTTGATTATCTGTTAATATCTTGCCAGTATCATCTGATACAATTTTTTTTTCCAAAATAATATCTGTTTGGTTTCCATAAGAGATTTTTATTTGTTAATTCCCGCCCCCCCATGTTTTCTTCTCTTATCCTTTAGCTTGACAAATGCTGATGTTGACTGTATCCACTTACACTTTGTCACAGTACTGAAGGGACCTGGGAAGAGATTAAGAGGGAGGGTCAAGGACGAGAGACTGTCTAGCCCTTTGAATTTGAACTTGTTTTAAAAACAAACAGTGTTGAAAGCATATTTCATCTGTTTCTCTTGAGGGATATAGTTCTCTGTTTACACACTCTCTCTGTAGCATCCTTTTGGTGTCTGTGTGCTTTTTAAAGGTCATGGAATATGGCTGAGAAGGTATGAAAACATGCTCTTTTTTAACATCCCTGACCCGGATGGACGAGTCATATCACCTGTGTTGACTGGATTCTATGTGTTCTGGACCATGATCATCTTGTTGCAGGTAATTTCTATGTCTTTGCTCATTATCTAGCTGTCTTTACCTTCTTTCACTGACTAACTTTTTAAATTTGTTTGTACTTTATTAGGTCTTGATTCCCATTTCTCTTTATGTGTCCATTGAAATCGTGAAGCTTGGACAGATCTATTTTATTCAAAGCGACGTAGACTTCTACAATGAGAAAATGGATTCTACCATTCAGTGCCGAGCTCTGAACATCACCGAAGATCTTGGGCAGATCCAATACCTCTTTTCTGATAAGACAGGAACCCTCACTGAGAATAAGATGGTTTTTCGAAGATGTAGTGTAGCAGGATTTGACTACTGCCATGAAGAAAATGGTGAGTGTGGGATTTCTACAAAAACTACCTCTAACTTTTTCCCAGCTAAATCTCTAGTAATTCTTTCAAGGAAAGTCAGGGTTAAGTACTGGGTAATTAACGCACCCCACTGGACTTTATGCTGCTGCATTTTTGTTGCTTTAGAACAGTGGTTCTCAACCTGTGGGTCATGACCCCTCTGGAAGTTGAATGATGCTTTCACAGGGTAGCAAACTACAGTATGAAGTAGCAAGGGGAAAAATAATTTTATTGTTGGGGTCACCACAGTATGAGGAACTGTGTTAAAGGGTTGCAGCATTAGAAAGGTTGAGAACCACTGATTTAGATGTTAGTAGATGCTGAGCAACATTCTACACTGTGACAAACACTGGATGCTGAAGGGCTATGAAGTGGTTTAGTAATATGGATGCTGAACATGTGTTTTGGTTAACATTCTATCTTTCTCAGTGTAGATGTGCACACACACACACACCACACAACACACACAGAATGAGAAAGAGAGAGGGGAGCATGGGAATAAGTGAGTTTAGGAAAAGGCCCTAGTCTTCCTAGAATATAGCTTGAGACATAATATTTTAACTGAAATTAAAGCCATTAACTGTACCTGGGTTTCTATGGCCAATGTTTCAGGATTTTCTAGCAAAAGAATTGCCTAGGAGATAATTATGTAAAGAATACTGCTGTGTGGAAAAACCCCATCTCACATACAAATGATTTAAACACATTTGACAATACTATAATGTGTTTCAAAACTTGGCAGTGTGAGCCATATACTGGCATCATCAGCGGCACCTGCGCTGTATTAGGAATTACGGAGCTGCGATTAAAATCTCATTTTAACAGAATTCTCACAGGATTAGCATGCATATCTAAATTAAAAAGCCACATCTGAAAAAAAGAAAGAAAAGAAAAGGAAAAAAAAAGCCACTCCTACTTTAAGAGAGAGACTATGGAAAAATGTCATTTAAGGAATAAACTTGTCACATTGGGATAGTTAATTGTAGAACAGTTACAAAGATGTTATAGAGGGTTCATGGTCACACCATCTCTCCTGTTAACATAGGTCCTGACATGCCTTTGGGAAGTGGTGCACTGGTGTCAATATATCATCATTACCTGAAATTCCTGTTCTGAAAGTACCCTTCATTTTCACTTATGTCTCTTGTGGTCCCAGGATGACACCTGGAATGCCAGTAACAGCCATCATTTAGGCTTCTGTACACTTGGCAGTTTCTAGAGACTTTCTGTCTTTTGGATGAACTTACAGTTTTGATAGGTACTGTTCTGGGACTTGGTAGACTGTCTCTTAATTTGGGGCTGTTGGGCAAATGCTTTTATGATGCCCAGTTTGTGAATTTGTTGATCCATGGAGACATCAAAGGACACTGTCCAAGAATAAAAAAAAAGTGCAAGTTTTTTAAGCCTGAAGTCCATTTCTGCCACCTGCCAAGTATGTGTACTTCAGCAAGATACATAGTTTCTCTGAGTCTTGGGGAGGTAAAAAGGCCTTTGTAGTATCCACTTCATTTAGATCATTCCTGCAGAGATGCACAGAGCACGGCACAGATAACTTTCTTACCTATGAGTTGCTATTATTATTATTTTTAATTTTTGCTTTGAAAATAAGAAGCAGGTCTGCTATTTTAGTATCTTATAGCCCAGTGTGGGAGACAGATGTGTAATTATAAAACTATCATGTTAATTGTTAACATTAATGTTGATATTCCTGGGTCCAGTTGTTAAAATGTCTGCAATGCATGCTTGAGGATTTCAAATCCCCAGCATCCACATTTAAAAAAAATAAACTGTTGTCATGCACCTGTAACTTCGCTGCTGGAGGGACAAAAATGGGATTTCCTGCACCCTTGGAGCTCATTGGTCAGCCAGGCTATCCAAATCAATCAGCTCAGTGAGATACACTGTCTCAAAAATTACTGTGATTTCCTCTGGCTTCCACTAAAGAACACACATATGCATGCATGCATATATAAACACACACACTTGCATGAATATGTACCTACCATGTATCACACACAAAGAAATACTTGTTCCAAATTTGGTTTGACATTCAGCAGCCAGGTAGTTGTGGAGATGAATTTTGCCCTGACTTACTACAGATGTTCTTGGAACACATGACATGTGTGGAGAATCTGTTCAGAGCAGAGGTTTGGGTATCAGTTATATATATGTGGATGATGTGGTTGGAGGAAGGTTGGCTGGGTGTGCTGTTTATAAGTAGGTAAAGATGGGGTGCCAGGGACGGTTGTGAAATTAGTTTATTGAGAATGGTGTGAAGGAACATGTACAGATGATGTGTGGAAGGGAGCTCTTTGAATGTGCTGTGTTCAGCCTTGTGTTGGCCCTATGGAGAGCACATTATAAATTATAAATTACAATAAGCTAATTTTCCGTGGTCTGAGACCTACTTCTTTCAGACATCAAACCAAAGCAAGTAGTAGGCAATAAACAGATTTTAGAATACTTGAGAAGGGAATGGCAAAAGAAGACGTGATTAGGTAAGGAAAAGAAATTAGAGATGATTTGTCTAATGCAGGACCTACCTGTAGATATAGAGGAGAGCAATGCCAGACTCTGTGTTTCCTGTTTGAGTCAGAAAATGATTCCTGGCCCATTCTGAGACTCTGGGCTTTATCATCATTTGGGTATATTTTACTTATTGATATGATATGAACCTGTTTTTCACAGCCATCTTTGATATAATTTTCTCTGGATGTGGAAGTTTAGCAGAGGCTCTGTTTTCTGAATCACACTGTAATTTTCTTGACCTATATGTTTCTAGAACTTTCCACGAAGTGAGTAAAGGTTGAGTCATTCTGTCCTTTACATTCCATTATCGAAATTCTACTTATTGAGCAAGTTTGTCCCAGAGTAATAGCTGAGCCACTGGATGTCATACTAATTACACAACCATGTGGTACTAATTCCTCCAATGATGGTTCAGAGAAAGTACTTGAACCTGTTTGTCCTAGAGTAGCAGCTGAGCCACTGAATTTCATACTAATTACACAACCATGTGATACTAATCCCCCCAATGATAGCTCAGAGGAAGTACTTGAACCCATTAAAGCAGATTTTGGGGCATTTTAATTGTTTTTAAAATGTCATCTCATTACCAATATATTTCTTGAAATATTCCAAGTTTTGTCAATCTCAGCACTATTTCCTTTAATATGTTGATGTCTAACCACTGAGTGCTAGTAGCCATTGCCAAAAGTGCCACAGGAAACCTATTCACCACCCCCCCCCCCAAAAAGAAATTAGCAAAACACCACCAAACAGAAAAACAAACAAAAAGATTCAACTTATTATAACTGTTTAGAGTTAAGGAGCCATGCCATACGGATATGAGCATTGGCTTCAGAGACAAGAAGGCTAAATTTAAATCCCAGCTCTACCTCTAGTTTACTGTTTAATAGTAGAATATTAGCCTCTCTGTGTAGTTTCCTCAGCTGCAAAAGGAACAATAGTTCTTGTCGGATAAAAGTATTTTGATGGTGAAAATGAATGTGTGTGTGTGTGTGTATGACTTTTGATAAAAAACACCTTTAATAACTGTAAGTCCCTACCCATAACTTTCCCTTAACACTAGAGATACTTCATTTTACACACCCATTCATCCATTATTCATTTACCAAGTACATGTTTAATATTAAAAAAAATAAACAGACTCATAGAAATTTGACAGAGGAGATTGATGTGTTAAAATTGGCCACATTTGGGACTGGAGAGGTGGCTCAGTGGTTAAGAGCACTGCCTGCTCTTTCAGAGAGCCTGTGTTCATGTCCCTGCACCCACGTGACAGTTCACAGCTGTCTGTAGTAACTCCAGTTCCAGGGGATCTGACACCTCACATTGATATACATACAGGCAAAACACCAATGCACATAAAATAAAATAAATAAACTCATTTTTTTTTAAAAAAATGGGCCACATTCATGCATATGGCTATATTTTGAAACTCTATAGCATTAGGTCACAGAATCTTGGCTGTGGCATCCAATAAATCTGATCTTAGGACCAATCTAGTCTGTTTTTGTGAGATAACAAATTGATAAAGTTTATTTCTTTATTTATAAAATGAGAGTTTTGAGCAGAGTGCAAGGCCAGCTGGTCTATAGAACTACTTCCAGGACAGCTAGGACTACATAGAAAAAAAACTTCTCAAAACACAAATAAATAATTAGCTAAAATGGGGATGTTAATAGTTCCTACTCAGAGGAATGTCATAATGTTTCAGTGAAGCAAAGGTCTGGTGGATGATGGTCATTGAGCCCATGAAAACTGTAAATGTCCAGCGAATAGTCTGTATGGGAACTGAAGTTAGAGGGCTTCAGATAGAGTGAATGCTTGTTGAGAGCCACTTAAGTTTATAATAGCACATTGGAAGTAGAGGTAGGAGGATCAGGAGTTCAAGGCCATCCTTGGCTGCACGCAGAATATGCTGGGTTTAATGTTTGTTTCAATAAACAAACAACAGAAAGGAAAAAGAAAAAGAAACTACAATATTGCTTCTTAGCCTTTCCATTCTCTTAAATATGGCAAAATTATTACAATAAATGAAATATGAAAACACTTTATAAAACAATTTGTCCCAGTCTATATCTTATTCAGTAGCTGGACTTCTAATGATTAGACACAATCACCAACACAACAAGCATGTTCTCACTGTTCCTCCAACACGGTTTTAATAGTAAGTAAGCACAACAAGGAAGCTCTCACTGGTCTTCTAAGGGAGGAAGTCATCGTGAACACATAAATAGATAGCAGCGATCAGGACCTGGCAGAGAGTCAGAATAAAGTGGTTTACTATGAGGACTAGACAGCTACTTTGGACTATAAGCCTTGGCATGACCTTTTAAAGCAGAACATTAGAGTCTAACAACTGAATGACAGAATCTAGATGTTCTGGGGCAAAGGATTTCCAGTCCAAAGGAACAATTCCTCTAGAGGGCTTCATGCTGTAGAGCTCACATTTTCAAAGTAAGTAATAAGGCCCATGAGTCTGAATTAGACTAAGGCTGTAGAGCAGTGGTTCTCAACCTTCCTAACGCTGCAACCCTTTAATACAGTTCCTCATGTTGTGGTGACCCTCCCCCTACCCAACCATACAATTATTTTCATGGTTACTTCATAACTGTAATTTTGCTACTTTAGTGAATTATAATATAAATATATTTTCTGATGGTCCTTTAGGGGTCACAACCCACAGGTTGTGAACCACTGATGTAGAAGCAAGAAGGAGGTAAAGGTCATATTGGGTTATTTAAGGCAGGATAAAGAGCCCAGTTTATTCTGAGGCCATCGGAAAGTGTTTCTACGGGAGGTGATCCCATCTGCTTTATCTTTTAGGAAGGTCTCTCTAGCTACCATTTGAGGAAGGGATTTCAGAGGGGCTAAGAGATTAGTTTTGAGGCATTGCACTAATTCAGTTAAAAGATGATGGCAACCTGACTAAGGTAATGGAAATAGGGAGAAGTCTGGACACTCAGAATAGATTTGATGTATGATGGACATGTGCTGGCAAGCCTCTGGATATGAGTAAGTAGTGAGGAGTCAAGAGTCATTTATTTGTGATTCAGTGTATTTGTTGTAAATGTGAGAATAAGATGATGTCAAATATCTGTAACATCTTGGATGCTTTAATAACTTTGATAACTGTAAATCCCTACCCATCACTTTCCCTTAACACTGGAGAGACTTTATTTACGTACCTATTCATCCATTATTCATTTACCAAATACTTGTTTAAGATTAAAAAAAAAAAACCCACAGGCTCATAGAAACTTGACAGGGAAGATTGACATGTGTTAAAATTGGCCACACTCATACATATGGCTATATTTAGAAACACTGTAGCATTAGGGTCACAGAATCTTGATGTGGCATCCAACAAATCTGGTCTTAAGACCAATCTAGTCTGTTTTTGTGAAATGACAACTTGATAAAGTTTATTTCTTTACTTACAAAATGAGAGTGTTAAGGCCCAATGCATAGTGAACAAATGTACTGTCAAGAATGGAGTGTTCAAACTTTTGGTTACATTGTTGTCCAATGGAGAGGAGAAAGAGGAAAGAGAAAAGATTGAGGAGGAAGGAGAAATAGCTCAGCTCCAAGCAGGTAGAATTTAAGATTACTGTTATTTATTTATTCCTATGTATTTGTATTTGTTGAGTACCTATGAGCATTGGACTCTCAGGACATATTAACAGAACATAAGTTTCTCTGACCATTTTAAGGTATATATTTTGTGGGGTGATATGAAAATAAGAAGAAAAGTATATAGTGGGCAGTAGTGGCAAGATTAGAATCGATAGTAAACAATGGGGCTCTACCTGAGAAATCTTCACTGTTAAGTAGGATGAACTCAAGAGAGGTGGAGGCATGTACCATACTACTATCTATCTACTAGAAGAGCCTTATGATAACCAAATGCAAGTGTCATGTGGAGAGTTGAATACATGAGTATGAATTTCAAGGAGAGGTCAGAATTGAAAATACAGGTTGTTTTAGTTAGGGTTACTATTGCTGTGATGCAACATTGTGACCAAAGCAAGCTGGGGAAGAAAGGGCTTATTTGGCTTATGCTTCCACATCACAGTTCAGCCTCAAAAGAAGTCAGGGCAGGACTAAAGCAGGGCTGGAACTTGAAGGCAGGAGCTGATGCAGGGGCCATGAAGGAGTGCTGCTTACTGGCTTGCTCAGCCTGCTTTCTTATAAAACCCAGGCCCACCAGCCCAGAGATGGCACCACCCATAATAGGCTGGGGCTTCCCCCTTCAATCACTAATTAAGAAAATGCCCTCCAGGCTTGCCTACAACCTGATCTTACAGAGGTATTTTCTCCGTTGTTGCTCTCTCCCCTCTGATGACTCCAGCTTGACATAAAACTAACCAGTAGATGGGTTTATAAGCTATGCGTAAAGACATTCTGTTTCAAAGATCAGACCATATGAGAATACCAAGAAGAGGTGTGCAGACGGAGAAAAGTAGGCAGTCCTGCAGCTTGCCAACAACTGAAGTTCTGTCCACTTGTAATCCCACCTTTGAGGAGTAGAAACAGGCAGATCCTGGAACTTGCTGGCCAGGCATTCTACCTTCCATGGTGAGTTCTAAGACAGTGGGGGTCCCTGCCTCAAAATACAAAGGAAGAAACATAAAACAAAACAATGAATCCTGAGAAACAATACTCAAGGTCCTCTGTCCTTCACATACATGTACACACATATGTAACCCTACACATCCACATATATGTGAAGGCATGCACACACACACACACACAAATAAACATGTATGAAGGAAAGCTAGGAAAACTAAACAGTTAGTGCCACCAACATAGAGGAGAAAACAGGTAAGGATGATCCTAGAAGCCTAAAGAGTTATTTCTAGAAGGAGTTGACGATTATTAAGGGTTCAAATGAGTTAAGGACACACACACACACACACACACACACACAAATAAACATGTATGAAGGAAAGCTAGGAAAACTAAACAGTTAGTGCCACCAACATAGAGGAGAAAACAGGTAAGGATGATCCTAGAAGCCTAAAGAGTTATTTCTAGAAGGAGTTGACGATTATTAAGGGTTCAAATGAGTTAAGGACACACACACACACACACACACACACACACACACACACACACACACACACACATATATATATACACACACATACATGCATACGATCACTGGGCTTGGCAAGATGGAGCTTATAGGGGACCTTGAGAAGATATCAATGAAGTGTTAAGACAGAAAGTCCTGAAATAGGTTAAGGAGAGATTGGAATATGTGAAAGATAAATGTGAAAAGAAAATCCTTGAAGACCCAGAGGGCAGGATCCAGATTACAAGTGGAGGGCTTGACATTTCAAAAAAGGAAGGCTGAGTTCTGCATCACAGAGTAACAAAGAGTGTGGATAGAGCTGCAGATGAGATGCTAGACCTAGAGATGGAAAAGGAAGGGACTTCTAATCCATTGTGTCTTCATTTCCCAATAAAAGGTGGGGTAAGTTTATTGGTTGTGGATTCCCATGGGGAGAGTTTGGAGGCTAGGACAGAAAAATGATGGTGTAAAAAGCTCAGGAACTACCTTCCATATTTAGCCTGCAAGTTCTTCTCAGAAGGTGACCCAGTGTGAATTTTATCCTACAGCCAAGAGGCTCGAGTCCTACCAGGAAGCTGTCTTAGAAGAGGATGAAAGCACAGACACTCTCGGTGGCTCCCTCAGCAACATGGCTAAACCCAGAGCCCACAGCTGCAGGACAGTTCACAGGGGCCCTTTGGGAAGCAAGGCCTCAACTCATCTCTCAGCGAGCACTACTGCCCTAGGAAGTGGAGAAGGATGTGAGGAAGTGCCTCATTCCAGACAGGCCGCATTCAGTAGCCCCATTGTAAGTGTGAAGCCATCACCACATCCTGGGCAGAGCAGCCCCCTGGTTATCATAGCCCAAACAACACTGTTTTTCTTTGTCTACGAAAGAGGTGACATCATTACAGCTCAGCATGATGCTGACATATAATAAGTATTAAAAAATAACACAAATTTGAGATTTGTTACATAATTTGGTGTTGAAAAGTCAGGTACCATTTCTGAAAAATGTAATATTTCTGGTCAAGGATGATCATATCAGAGCCTGAAGAAGGCTACCTTGACTTAAGGATAATGGCTGACTCTAAGAACCACCAAGACTGAACCAGAATTATCTTAGAGACAGGTATGTTTGTCTAATTAGTAGGTCTTTTGGTGTCTTTTTAATCACTGTGTAATCTTCCTCTGCATTCTACCCAAACCTCGTCATCCCTAACTCCACAAAGGGTACTTTCTAGTATTTTCCTTCCAGAGCTCCACAAGTGATTTGTGTCCCAATGGCAACTTTTCAGAACTGACCAGTCACCCCTACTTACAAACCCATTTTACTGCAGGAGAAATTAGAAGACCATCTGGAAAACATAGGACACAGAAAAGATGACTGTGTAAAAAGAGTTAGAACTCAACACTTTCATTGGATATTTAAGATGACCTCTCTAAAATGTTCACTGCCTTCTCAGCCTTTCATAGTTCATTAACACCCATGTTTAACCAAGATGGCAGTTTCCTACCACAATGTCAGTATCACCTCAGGCAGACAACATAACAAGAGTTGAGTAGCTTTGGGGATGCCTTGGGTTGCCACATTACAGTCATTTCTTGATTTTCATGATAGATTCTTTACATAAGTAGACTCCAGGTCCCCGTCTTGATTTGAGAAGGCCTTTAAGGTCTTCAGGGCATCTCTAGGCTCTCTGCAAACTTGCCATGAAATGTGCACCTGCAGTAACAATGTGGCCACCACCAACTCAATTCTGTGGCACTACAATTTCCTTATGTAGCTAGCAATCTGATCTGAAACATTTATGCTTTTCCAAATTTTGAAAGGCAGTTAACAAGAAGTGTGCATAGCACTTTTGTTCTGTCGTTATTTTATGCTTATGTCAAAAAGAAATACATATGTATGTATATTCCCTTTTCTCTATGATATTATCTTCACCTAGTCATTTGCTTAACTTGTATATTTTCTGCACATTTGGAAATAAACATGCGTAACTCACATCTAGTTGATGGTAGCCCAGTGAACAGACAGAAGGGCGATGTACAAAGGTACTTCTGGAAGCCTTTGTGCCTATTTCTGTGCCATCTCCCCTGCCTGAGACATATTCTTGCCTCTCCTTACTGAATATGATGAAACATTAAGGCAGCCACGAATATCTGTACTGAAGACTTCTTTGACTTTTTGTTGTTGTTGTCAAAAGGATTGTCCCACTGCCCCTTTGTTTGCATAACATTGGCCTTGTTTCTATATTAGACATTGTACCATTAGCAACTTGTTTTTTGTTGTTTGTTTTGTTTTTGTTTTTTCTAGACAGGGTTCTCTGTATTATTGCTTTGGAAACTGTTCTGGAACTTGCTCTGTAGATCCGCCTGCCTCTGTCTCCAGAGTACTGAGATTAAAGGCGTGTGCCAACAACACCCTGTCATTGTCACCTTGAGAACAAGAATTTTTTTTTTTTTTTTTTTTTTTTTTTGTTTTTGTTTTTGTTTTTTTTTTTGAGACAGGGTTTCTCTGTGGCTTTGGAGACTGTCCTGGAACTAGCTCTTGTAGACTAGGCTGGTCTCAAACTCACAGAGGTCTGCCTTCCTCTGCCTCCCAATTGCTGGGATTAAAGGCGTGCACCACCACCACCGGCCAGAGCTTTTTAACCTTTGTATCCTAACACTTAGCACAGTGCCTGCCACAGTTTTCTCAAAACAGTACTTTGGAAGGTTGTTGAATGAATCTGATTGCCAGATCCCATTCAGTTGGTTGTTTCCACTTGCCCTGTGCTCTAATGTCCTGTGTCCTCTTAATTATTTGGAAGTTCCAGGGTTGTTTTCGTCCTGTGTCTTGCAAAGCTACACTCCTACATATAGAACAAAGTGGTCATGTTCTCCCATGAAACAGACTTTCACTCTTGAGTCTTAAGTCTTACAAGCTGAGCCTAATATTTTGAGGAATCTATACAATCTATGACCCAAAAAGCTACAGTTTATAAGAGCACCTGCATGAGTGCTGAGTACCTAGAAACAGGTTTTGATAGCAACCCCCAGGAGGGAGGTAAGCAAACAATTCAGGGCACATCAAGTTCTCAGCACTGCTGGGTCAGGGAGTTTGTGTAGAGAGAAAGTCACCAGTGTGTAGCCTTTGTATTTTTCCTTCGGGTGTGTGGTATTGGGAGTCAGGGTAGTCCAAGAGAAGGCTTGTGTGTCCACAAAACCCAAAGTAACCTAAGTAGAGTGACAGCCCCTGAACTGCAGGGCCATCAGGAAATGAAATCAAACCTCAGTAGATGAGGACTAGAGAGGAGTGGGGACAGCTTTCCCATTGCCTGGCCAGCTCAATCACCAGGGAGAGTTTTTTTTTTTTTTTTCCATTATTAAACCATGGTGTTTAGAGGTTTGTAGAAAACAATGAAGCAGCTTCCTGTTACTCATGATTTTAGAACAGGTAACATTTAAATTATGTTGAAGCTGTACAAAAGCTTCATCAAACAGGGAGGAGAGCAAAGAGCAGTGTCTAGCCGGAATTTGCACATTGAACTTGGATCTAACTAGGGGAGAAAAATAATAAAAGAAGAAGAAAAAAAAAAGGCTGGAATAGAATTCGTTCAGCCAAGTAGGTGGTGTGAGTCCTGATAATGAACATAAACTTGGAAACAATCAGGTGCTATCACACAAGGTGACAGCAAAGCTGCAACTCAACTATGAAACCACCAAGGCTTTGCTGACAGTGCAGAAGAATGGTTCTCTACCTGCGGGTCATGCCCCCAACATCCCTCTCACAGATATCCTGCATATCAGATATTTGCACTACAATTCACAACTAGCAAAATTACAGTTATGAAGTAGCAGCAAAATAATTTTATGGATGGGGTCACCACAACACAAGGAACTGTATAAAGGGCCCAGCATTAGAAAGGGTGAGAACCCCTGGTGTAGGAGCTGTCTGTGTCATGCTGTGTATTCTGTGATCTAGTCATGAGTGGAAATGTTCTCTGAGTATTAACCAGATGCCCAGTTGATACCGTGTGGGAGCTATTATGCGTTTATTTTCCATGGGTAATGACTCTAGTTTGTTTCTCTACCCCTCCTCCTTCATAGAATAGAAGACTAGGAAGAGTTTGATACTAGTGTACAATAAACTTGGGTTGATTATCATGTGCCATGTACTCTGGCAAGGGATTCCAAGATCAGTAGAATATGGTCCTTGCCTTAAAGAGACTTCTAAACTCTGTTTAGTAAAGAGCTATGTCAACTAAACAGGCATGGTTTCATGGAAGTTGGCAACATTTGTCCAGCACAGAAAAAGACATGTTAATCTTGTAGAACAAGGCCACAGTGAAGATGGTTTTGATCTTGGGGAAATAATTGTGGATATAGTCATTTAGATTTAAAAAAAAATGCGTGACAATTCTGTACCCTTTCCTCTATTCAAAAACTATAGCTTAGTCATGAGGGATGAAGTTATTTTGTCAAATCCAGCAGAGCCCTCTCTTTCTGGCACTTGATTTTGATGTGAGTGTCTCCTTACATCTTCCTGTGGGCCCTTCTTTTATTTGTATTCTTTTATGGTGATTTCAGTGTCTTCTGTGGTCCCAAGCATTTGGATAGATAGACTCAGCTTCATTTTGACAGTTCTTATCTGCAGAGTATTGCTGACAGGGGTATCTCTTTTGTGATTGTGTGAATACACATGCAGTACTTTTACTAGCTTTAGTATTGCTTTTACCGTCATGATCACAGAACAGGATTTCAGCTTTGTAGTCATCTACTTGCTGAATTTAGATAGAATTTTAAGACTCCTTTGTGACAGCAGATAGCATGTGAATTTTAAACCTGTCATGACCCTGGTAATCTGAAAGGTGAGAATGTGTCACTTGAAAGGAAGGAAAGAAGAAAGGCAGACAGGCAAAGGAACAGGGCTGTAGGTAAGCCTCCCCAGGCTAGCTGTCAGCAGAGTGGAGCTGAGACATGAGCAGAGAGCGTGTAATTGCCAGCATTGCTCTTCTCTCATTAAACCTGTGAGCACTCTTAGCAAATGCAGAAACACTGGCTGTGGTATCTCAGTTTTTCTCTTTGCTTTTTAAACAAAATTCTGGACAAGAGCAACGTAGAGTTGGAGAGGAATACAGGCCGTCATAGCAAGGAAAGCATGACATGGGAAGCCTGTGGCAGTGGGTCCCATTGTACCCACAGTCAGGAAGCAGAGGGAGGAAAGCTGATGCTCGGCTGGCCTCCTCCTCCTCTAGTCTTCCAGGACCACAGGGAATGGTGCCACCCACATGTGTAATTTGTCTTCCCTCTTTAATTGCACCTCCCTGGAAACACCCTCATAGACACACCCAGGGATTTTTTTTTTTTTTCTTAACTAATCCTAAAACCAGTCAAGTTGACAATAAAAGTTAACCATGACAGGACCTTGTGAGTAGAGTATCACCTGTCCCTGGTGCACTCTCTTGTGCCAGTCACCCCATCTGGCTTCCCTGCAGTCAGTGTACTGTGCCTGGCAGCATCCAAGATTCCCTGCAACCCAGTGGTGCTTCTGTGGGACCATGATTGTAAGCAGTACTCTCTACAGCAGACTAAACGACTAAACGATGCTGTGTAAAACTCAGATTTCCACTATGACACACATATGTTAAAAGCTAGTACTCTAAAATGAGTCTGAGATAGACTGTGCTAGGTGAAATGAGGCTCCTGCACCCCACACTGTGACAGAACTTCTTAGAGTAAACCCTTACCAGGAATTGTCAAGAGAAGGAAGGCCACAGTTGCTAGAAAATCCTGGCTATGAAATGTGTATTAGTCTCTTTGCTTGCTTATAATAAATATTTTTTTCTTATAGAAAGTTGTTTTTATAATATTAATTAGTTGAGGAAAATGTTTTGTTCAATTAAATCTCATTTTTGAAATTATTTGGGTTTATCAGTTGTTGAATAAAATACAGCCATGGTAGAATTCTGAGTACAATAAATTATATGCCTAGCATTATGTATTTCAAAGTGAGAAATACCCTTTCAACTAGATTTGGTAGAAGGTGGTGTTTCTATCTCCTGTTTAACTGAAAGGTAAAAATATTCTCCATTAATAATACACAATCTGTATTCCCTTTTATTTCTATGTGCTTTATTTTGTTGTTTTAGTTCCCCAGATATCATTTGCATTAAACTTTTAAAGTTACTGGGCTGCTGAGAAGGCACTTGACGCCAAGCCTGACAACCTAAATTTGATCTCTGGAACCCACTTGGTGGAAGGAGAAAACCAACTTCCTTAAATTGTATTCTAATCTCCATATGTGCTGTAGTTCATGCATGAGTATGCGCACACTCGAGCACACAGACACACACACACACACACATACGCGTGCTCACGTGAGCACACACGCAAATAAATGTAGGAAAGAATTAAAATTTAGTAGAAGCATTGTAGAAGCAACACTTTGTCATATTGTCTCTTCAGGAAACAGACGTGGTACCAGATACCAGACTTTTGGACAAGTTTAGCCAGATTACCCCTCAGCTCTTTGCCCCTCTGGATGGGACCATGCAGAGTCCACCCCTGGAGATTTTGTACATCCTGGATTTCTTCATCGCACTGGCAATTTGCAACACGGTGGTGGTTTCTGCTCCTAACCAGCCCCGGCAAAAGGTAAACTCTGATGCAAACAAAGGTTTTCTCAACAGTGGACAACATGGAGTATGCTTGCCTCTGTAGTGGTTTTGTTATGTGATGACAGTAAATACCAAGAGCAGCAAGAATAGCAGGGGCAAACCATTTACTCAGGACTTGTTCTTGGCTCTGCACTTACCACGCTCTAAGAGATTTACTGGTGCTAATGTGTTCAGTCCTCTCAGAGCCCCAAGGGCTAGGCACTCTGCCTCTGTTCTTCCTCACTTTAAGCCTTGGAAGGATTTCACCAGGGTTGCTAAACCAATGTATGGGGGGTGGGGGTGGGGTTGAACCTAGGGAGTAGGACTCTGGGCTTACTCTTCTTTTTTCGTAGGAGAGAATCATGGAGGAGAACTTTCGTTTGACTTCACTGTTTTACTAAATTAAAGCTGTCTGTGAGCTTCTTCGGAGACCTCCAACATTGTATGCATGACATCATACAAAGTCTGAATCGTTAGTTTAATGGTCATGACTATGACAAACTTTCTTCCTGTACCAGCTAGGTAGTTTTAACTCAGTCTACCCATTATCCAGTATGAGTACAATGTGCCAGGATTCAGCAGTTCCTCAGTATAGTAATAGCTTTAGAGCTCATGGAAAATTCATTTTCCAGTTAAGAAGGAAAACATTGCAGAGCCTGATGATCTATTGTGGTGTGCTAGCCTCCTGTTGTATCTTGCCTTTCCTACACATCCACTTAAAATTCAATTTACAGCAAAACCCAATTAAATTTTAATTTTCCAACTGATTATTTCCTTTTGGCAGCCTCAGAGGTAGGAACTTTAACATAAAAGTAATTCACTTCCAATTAAGCTGTACCTGATCAGAGGCTTTATTTTACAAGGCATTGCCTAGGAAGATGCTTTGGCAAAAGCAATTGTGGTTTTAGAAACTAAATGACAGGATCAATGGAAAGTTGTAGGACACAATATTTGACACCTCTTTTCAATGTTGGTAACTTTTGGTGTTAAAGTAGTGTTGATGTAATGTTTACTGCTTGGAATAAAATCTTTGGAGGCATAAAGAGCCCCTGTGCCCCCCAGATTGTGTGGGTAATGAGAGAAAGGGGGCTTTCTGTGAGAAACAGAGACTTCACCTGCAGGTGCATGCCCGGCTTGACATCCTAATCACTGACTCCTTACCAAAGTTAGTTTCTGAAGAAAACATTGAAATTCTCCACATAGTTCCAAATGATAGGCATGAAATTATTAGCTAAATCACTGCTGTTAAAAGTTTAAAAGAAGACAGTATACAATTAAGAACAAATTGTGTACTAGTAAAGAGTTAAAATCCTGTGATAGTGTGACTAAGTTCCTCTCTGACTTTCATTCATTGACCTGTTTTGGTGTAAATGTAGACTCTGAAAAGAGAAAAGAAAAATGTATTGTGTTAGCTTTTTGGTTGATTTTTTTTGGTTGATTTTTTTTGGTTGATTTTTTTCCTTCTGCAGTCTTGGTGATGTGTGTGTGTGTGTGTGTGTGTGTTTTATCATCTGTTTTCTCTTACTATTGTCTGAATTCTTCCTGTAATACTCCAAAAGCATTGAACTTTGCTAACAATGTATCCATGCGCTCTATAAACTTCACTTTAAAATAAACTTCAAGAGATGTTTTTGTTTTGGTATTGAATATTTAATTAATTTGAATTCATAATTTAATAGTGATTGATTGTTTCGTAGTTGATTCTTTGAGAAAGTGTCTCATTATGTAGCCCAGCCTGGTTTTGAATTTGGGGTCCTCCTCCTGCCCCTGCCTTTCAAGTGCTGAGATTATATACAGGTACTACCATGCTTTTAATTGCTTTTCAACTTGCTTTTAATTGCTATTGCTAAGATGTGCCAATAAAGATTATAGATTTCATACATGTAGAATTTCTTCTTTAGAAACAGTTCTATAAGGATGACCAATATTAGCATTTTGTATCCTTTGTTTTCAGTTGTTGATATCTTCCTAAATAGTTAGATAAATGTATAATGCCATCACATGTGGCACATCCTTTTCCCTGGTGACTTTTATGTCTTCCTGTTTGTGACGGAATTTCTGGGGAGAAAGCAGATTGACAGTTAAGACAGTGATAACTCTTTCATCTCTCATTTTTTCCCCATTTGAACTTTAGAGTTGTGATGGTCTAATTTTGAACATGTTTTTGAGACCTCTCCTGTTATCTTTCCTAGATTGGGCTCTCCTCACTGAGTGGAATGCCCATCAAGTCCTTGGAAGAGATTAAAAACATCTTCCAGAAATTGTCGGTCCGGAGATCAAGTTCACCGTCTCTTGCCAGTGGGAAGGACCAGACTTCTGGGACTCCTTCTGCCTTTGTGAGCAGAATCTCTTTCTTTAGTCGAACAAAACTGTCACCTCCTATGGAGGACGAATCTTCCCAGATGGATGAAAGACCCCAGGCCAGTAACTCAGCTTGCTGTACAGAAACCGAGGCACAAAACAGTGCCGTTGGACTCACCATTGGCTCAACTGATGCCCTAAATGGACCACCACCCTTGGCTTCCAACCTGTGTTATGAAGCTGAAAGTCCAGATGAAGCAGCCTTGGTGTACGCTGCCAGGGCTTACCACTGCACTTTACAGTCTCGGACCCCAGAGCAGGTCATGGTGGACTTCGCTGCTTTGGGCTCACTAACATTTCAACTCTTACATATCCTTCCCTTTGACTCGGTAAGGAAAAGAATGTCGGTCGTGGTCCGGCATCCTCTTTCCAAACAAGTCGTGGTGTATACAAAGGGTGCCGATTCTGTGATCATGGAGCTGCTATCTGTGGCTTCCCCAGGTAGGTTTACACAGTTGCCATGGTTGTAATCAGAGAGGCTGGGTTTCAGCTGCCACTATTGACTGTTTTCTTAAAGGCTATGAAGTCACACTGGAAAAGAGAAAATGCTGCCTAGGATTGGATGGGAAGGCTGAGGGGCTCTGAAGCTGTAGGGACCGTGGTTTGCTTACATCTGAAGTCCATTGTTAGCTGTGCCACCTGGACATTACCTGAAGGCAGGGTTTAAATGAAACCCAAGATAAATGATAAATAGGTATTTATTAAGGAAGCACTTACACAGATAAGAATAAATAACCGCCACGAGTCTTCCAGCTCCAGAAGATGCAGACACTGCCCTTTCAGTACTCTCTGCAACCCAAGACAGTGTGAGCCAGCCCCTCCTCTACCTTACAAGGGATCACATCTGTACCTGAAACCACACCCAAAGTGTGTGACTACCACTACAAGTTCACTGAGCAAGGCAAGATGCCACTACACTTACATTTTTGGAAAAATTGACATTATAATACCTTTTTATGGGCTCCCGAGAGGCTTAATGTCACTCTGTGAAATGCAGGAAGAGCCTGTTGCCTAGCAAGGGAGGGGTGCCCGGTAGAGGATGGGTAGCGCTGACCCATTGTGGCAGCAGTCTATATCAACGCTTTACCTTTTCCTCTGCCCAGGGGGAGAGAATCAAAGTGAAGAATTATGCTGCTGTCATCCTTCCCTAGACACACAGTTGAGATCCAAAGCTAAAAATGCCTTTTGTTTATTATGGATTAAACTGTCATTTTTCATAGGAAAAAAAAAGTCTAATTGGGCAGGCTGACAGGAATAATGATTTTCTGTTCATGATTTCAGATGGAACAAATCTGGAAAAACAACAGATGATAATAAGAGAGAAAACGCAGAGCCACCTGGATGAGTATGCCAAACGAGGGCTGCGCACTTTATGTATAGCTAAGAAGGTAAAAAAGCTGAGTGAACCCAATCTTGCTACATCAGTTTACCCATCATTACTGAAAACTGAGTGTGTATCTGATCTCAGTCCCAATCCAGGTACCAGGGAGGTTCCCCAGACTAAGGTCCATCCTGTATGTGATTGTGTTATATTTCTGTCTGCAAAGATTTTTGGCAGGTGCCTATGTTCTATTCTCAGAATTCTCACACATCTCAAACATCTCACATGCTACATACAAGTGGCCCTGTATGTAAACAGTTGTTTCCCTAAAAGTAAAGCCACCAACATCTTAACCATCTTCTCCCCAGAACCCTGTATATAATGCCTCCTAATTGTTAGCATTAAATGTGATTTGAAAAAAAAAAATGACCAACAAGCATCCATCATCTTTTTCTTGTAAATCTTGGTAGTTTTGTCTTGCTTTCTTATATGCCCATAAATTGATCTTTAAATCCAAGTAAACCTGCCAGGTTTTTATCCCAGGTTTGATTATTCTTTACCAAAAGCCATCCTTGAGACATGGCCTGTCCTTTCTAAATGAAAGCTTAAATAACAAGAAATAAGCAGAGCCCCAGAAGTGATTTGGGGACGGTTATTGCCAAAACCTCTCACTGACTACTTATAGTTCTTAGCTATTGTGGGAGGCAAAGTGGGACTAGCTCTGTTGGGGACCTCCAGGGAACCCAAGTCCACCACCAACATGAAGGATCAAATGCCTCTGTGATGCAGTTGTAGCAGGAGCAGGGAATTAAAGATTGAATCAACTCTGCCTTCTCATTTGAATGTATTCCAGTAGATGTTATATTTTCCCAAATCAAATTTCCTGTCAGGCAAAAATGTGTGTACAAGAGAAAAATTACTTACCCGCCTCCACTCGACCCTGCTTTAAGACTTGAAATTCACATTCATCCATTGTGGTAACTAAAGCCAGGAAGACATGGTTTCTTCTCCAGGAGTTGCATTTAAGTTTTGTTAGAACCAAGACCTTCTTGGGTTTGCTGTAGGGTGCCTCTCATTTTGTCTTTTCTGAAGCTTAACCATATGAATGAATCCTCAAAAACCTCTGAGGCGTTGTTAGCTGTGACATCCCTCAAACGAGCAATGCGGAGGACATTTTCTTAGCTGCACCATTAGAATGCTCCCAGATTTAACCACCAACAGGAGGCCTGTCCCACCTTCTTGTGTCCTGGTTTAATAGGTTAACCTCCGTTCACCAAATTTTCCAAGATAATTTAGCAGTAATGTCTACCAGCATATTTGCATTCCTTGATCAGAGTTTGGGAATCTCATGTCCCTGTGTGGTGAAGGAGTGTGGGTCAGATACAAGTGTGCCCACAGGGCGAAATTCAGAAATAGAGTTGTTGGCATGGAATTCTGTCCCCAGTCAGTCCTGGCAGGATATTGCAAGGTTAAATGCCATACCTGCTAGTATCTTTTCTTCCTCTCTTAGGTTATGAGCGACACTGAATATGCAGAGTGGCTGAGGAATCACTTTTTAGCTGAGACCAGCATTGACAACAGGGAAGAACTGCTGGTTGAATCTGCCATGAGACTAGAGAACAAACTCACATTGCTTGGTAGGTAAATGGTGCTGTATTGCTTGAGCAGAGAGTTTTGTCTCTAAATCCATTCTTCTCCAGTCCCCTTTAGCCACTTTGATGTAGTAAACATATGGTGGTTCTCCCTGCCATGTCCATCCTTATCTCTTCCTGTGTTCCAATACCTTCAGACCTGGATTCAACCTCAGTGAACTAGAGGGTTCATTTGTGGCAGGACAGGGTGGGCATTTTTGGTAAGATATAAAACTGAAATGCCCAACACAGAGCACACAGCCAAACAAACACCCTGGTCTGAGAGAAGGGTTTTGCAAATGTCTTGCAAGGAATTGGGTGAAATCTTAACTATACATTGTCTTCTTAAATCTTTGAAACAAGCAGGCATCTTATTTAGAAGAAATGGGGCACTGTGACCTGTTCATGTGCCAAGGTTTAGACACGAACTGAAAAGAAACAAACTCAAGTCTCCCCAAGTATAGGGTCTGTGATTTTTATTCTGTACCTGCAAGTGATCTTAAACTATTAACAGTCCAAGGGCTGTTGGTCTTGTGTGTGACCTTGACACTGGAATGGCTGAAAGTCTCCTGAGTGACTCCAAGGGGCCATCAAGTTCAGAAACTCTGCTTGGAGCATGGAAATGTAGATTCTTATAGAAGGACTAACGCATCAAACAGCCACCTCTGAATTCAGTTCCTCTATTTTTTTTTTAAGATTTTATTTATTTCTTATGTATACAACATTCTGCTTCTATGTATATCTGCACACCAGAAGAGGGCACCAGGTCTCATAATGGATGGTTGTGAGCCACCATGTGGTTGCTGGGAATTGAACTCAGGACCTCTGGAAGAGCAGTCAGTGCTCTTAACCTCTGAGCCATCTCTCCAGCCCCCAGTTCCTCTATTTAAGTGGGAACATAATCTCAGTATCTGTCAAGTAGAATAGTCCTGTCCCCTTTAAGTAGTAATAATTTCTTATGATGGTGTAAGTAGCTTAGATGCGTGCTTTCTAATCTGCATTTCCAAATAAATTTAAGGCTCTGTGGGTTTAATGCCAAAATTCATTTGGCAGCAAAATCAAACCCGATTTGATGTAACACTATTTTTGGGATTAATACTCTAATTAGCATAAAAATCTGCAAGGTTTTCTATAGAAATATAAATAAATATGTGTGGCTAACAGGTATCACAAAATAGAAAATGTATACTACATCATCACTGGTGGGAAAAACATGAATTCCAAAGCACATTTGGCTTTTTCCTTTTCCAGAATAGGACACAGTAGACTGACATTACAGGAAAGCATCACTGAAGAACGTTGTATTTTATAGCCAGGAGTATTCTTTAAGAGCCTGCCCTTACCATGGGGAGTTTCATAGAACTGTAGGATTCAGGGCAAGACTATGTAAGTAAGTGAATCGGCTTTCGAGTTTGTAGAGATGAATACTAGCCAAAAGAAGAGTGCGTTTGATAAACTCCACTATCCTTGGTGTTTCACGTCTGCTCTGCGGTTTTCTTTGCATTCCTGGAAGCTACTGGGGCAGTTTATACAGTTCAGGACTGAATGGCCAAATGAGTCCCAGCTGCCTCTGGTTTCTAAGCAACCTGTTTTGCGGTTTGATTGCTTTTCAGGTGCTACCGGCATTGAAGACCGTCTGCAGGAGGGAGTCCCTGAGTCTATAGAAGCCCTTCACAAAGCTGGCATCAAGATCTGGATGCTGACAGGGGACAAGCAGGAGACAGCTATCAACATAGCTTATGCATGCAAACTCCTGGAGCCAGATGACAAGCTCTTCATCCTCAATACACAGAGTAAAGTATGCATAATGATGTTGAGCCAAATACTCTCTTAACTCAAAGTCCGTAGGGCATTAGGCGATTGATGTATGCAAGAAAAAAGAAAAGCTGATCTGGCCGTCTGCAGCTCTTGATATTATGCTACCGAATGACCTTGCTCATGTTTGGGAGGATGCCATAGTTTTTCTAAAAGCCTTATTCAGAGGCACCATGGATGAATCCAAGCATTAGAAAAAAACTTCCCTTTTTATTTTGGGCACCCCTCTTCCCCCATTCTCACTGTTAGACCAGGGATTTGACAAAACAGACAAAAAATGAGACTGTATACAAACTCTTGAGAAAGGAACCTACCTCCTTTTCAAGTTGGAGGGGAGTAGTAATTTCTGTTAGTAACTAGCTATCTTTATGATACATTTTAAAAGTAGGCTCTCAGCATAATCCTGCCCTCTAGTGGTAGATTTAGATAAGAGCTCCTTCCTATCATTTGTAGAAATGAAAGGGATGGAATGTTAAAGCAGAAGGAGTTGAAAAGATTTTGAACCATCCATTTATTTATTTTTTTATTTAGGTTACCATTAATCAATAGGATGGGTATGTGAGTAAGTTAAGTGGGCATTTTACAGAAGGCTCCTAGGAGAGAGATACACTCCAACATGTGCTCATACTGTTTACTTGCTTGAAAGCTCTGCCTGCTTCCTTCCTTTCATGTGAAAGTCAAGATTCTGTCACAGCATCCTGACTTTGTGATGTCTTCTGTAGCCACCTCATGGAATCAGGTTCTTCACAGGCTGTGTCTTTTGGCTAGCTGTTTCATGTCTAAGCCTCCATTGATACTCAGCTCTGTGCTATGTTTTGAGGAAAGAGAGAGACTGAATTCTCTTTTATAGCAGCCCTGGGGCCATATTAGTAACCAACAGACATCCCCCAGTGCCACCAAGGGGCAGGATCCTTTCAGTGACTCCGAATGAATGTGGCGTGAGTGGCTAGTGAAATATTTACCTACTGCTGACTAAGTATATGTCCTTGGGGAGTAACTCGCCCTGTGTGGCCTTTTCTTCCTTACCTGTCACAGACAGTAGCACTCATGCCATGACATGGCTATGGGGAAAAATAAGGAAATATCTCCCGTCAGCATCAGCTTTGTGAAGGGCTTCTATAGATTTGGGGACTTCCTCCTACAGATGGTCTCCTATGCCAGCAGCACCTATAAAATGCTGTCTATTAAGAGATTTGGGAGCATAAAATAAAAAAGACAATTAAATAGTGCTGATGAAATGCTGCTGCCAAGCCTGGGACTTGAGATTGATCCCTGGAACCAACCTAGTGGAAGGAGATAATTGATTTTGACTCCTGGAAGTTGCCATCTGACTGCCACACAGACACCACGGCATGGGTACACCCCTCCACACACACACACACACACACACACACACACACACACACACATCAAATCCATAAACAAACCAATGAAAAATAATTATTTGCGGTTTTGACTCAGAGGGTTTTAGACATGAAAAACTTTTATCTTAAGATTATAATACATGGTAATTCCTAAACACTCAAACAATGTGGAAGCCTTTTAGAAAAGATGAGAAATTAAAACTATCCCTTAGAGAAAGCCTGTTGACAGGTCAAGCCTCTTTCCAGATAGCGCCAAGGCTGCATACATGGGAAACCAACCATAATGATGCATGCCTCATGAGCCTGCGACTCCTGCATTTGTCAAGAGAAGTGCTTCCAATGTCTGTGAGAATAGACATGGTGATGTGTGTCATCATGAAAAGAGGGGTATAGTGTCTCTCAGGTCAGGTATTTCAGTTACTCTTTCTAACCAAAGGGGTCCATGTACGGATTCTCTAATGTCTAACTCAAATTAAGCATATTTGCCTCCTCAATCGTTTCTCATTTCTTCATGATAAAAACCCTTTCTTCTAGTTTCTTTTGAAACATGATATACATTTTTTATCTACTAAGATACATTATTGATTGCTAAAAATCAGCAGGCTTATAAAATTTATTTATAATACACAATGTGTATGGGAAGGCATTTAAGACTGCCAGTCCAAGAAGTATTTATTACATATTTAGTTAATTTTAGTTGCTGCTAGTAACTATTCATGTATGCAGATTTCCTATATAGATTAAAAGAAAACAGTGGACATAATTTAATTTCATTTTGTGAATATTGGTTCAGACACTAGTTTGTAAATATGTCCTTTTTCCAATGTCTATTCCTTAGGAGTTTCTAAAAGCTAAAAAGGACTCAGATTACAAAACCTTTCTGTCTTGTGGTGAATTGCTTCTATAACATTCTTAGGAACCACTTGGCAGCCAATGACTTCTGGGATATCTGAAGTCATGTCTGTGTGGTAACTTCGTAAATTTCTGTGAAATGCACTACCAGCAAAACTAAGGCAAAACTGTATCCATTTAAAAGCCTCCATCCCTTCCACCTTCAGGAAGGTTTTTTCTCTTGTGTTCGTGTTACACTGTCCTGACATTGTTTACTGTACTCACATACACAGGATTGCTCCTTCATTTTACATTGTAGACTTATAAAACTTTTCTCCTAATAACAATCTACTATTTATAATCTTTAGTAGAAACTCTAGAAGGCTTTCCATGCATGATCTAATTGTAACAAATACACATTGACTCATTTTATAGGTAGAGATGCCAGAATATTTTGATTTATCCAGCGTGAAATAATAATTAGCATTGAAGTTGGTCTCTTCTACACCAGGATACCTCTATATTTTACAGTGATTTACACACTATATTATATATAAACGACCACTTCCTACAATTGCTGGAGTTATGTTTTATAGCGTTACCTTGCACCCAAATTAGTGAATAGTGAGTGCTGTCCCATGGGAGATTCACAGTTTACTTCCTGTGATCACACACAATACATTGCTAGTTGATCAACACATAGCATTGCTTCATATGTGCTTCTCTCTCATGGTACCTTATTTATTATTTATTGTAAATTCATTCACATTATATGTGTGAGCAGCCTCTAATTCATGCCTGGAAAGAGAGTACTTAACATACAATTTCTCAGTACTATACAGTACGTCATAGCTGTTGAGTGTTTAGGGACACAAAAAACACTGTAATTAGGAGCCGTATCAGAAAACAAAATCATCAACACAAAGGAGAAAGATGAAAAAAAAGTATCCCCAAACAATCTCAGCTCTTAGGAGGCAGAAGCAGGCAGATCTCTGAGTTTGAGGCCAGACTTGTCTACGAAGCAAGTTCTAGGACAGTCAGAGCTACAGAGAGAAACTCTGTCTCAAAAAACCAAAAAAAAAAAAAAAAATAGTAACAGTAATAATAACAATGCATCAATTTTCTCAGCTTTGGCTGAGAGGGCATGCATCACATGACCCAAATATCATTCTTTTCCTGGCAGTATATAACTTCAAAAGCCTGAGAGTATGGATTGAAAATAAATGATAGCAAGTAATCTGAACTCACAAACTTGGAATTCATGAACAGTGAAGACTGTATGTGTATGAGTGCGTGTGTGTGTGTATTCGTGAGTGTACATGTGTGTGTGTATGTGTAAACATGTATGTATACATACTGCTAAAAAAACTGAACACTCATGGATTAAATACCTGTGTGTCATCATAAGAAAGCGGCAGGTGATTCACAATTACATTATGAAGATTATCTATCTAGACTGTAAACTTTACCATATAATATTAACGCTACAAAGACTGTTTTATGTTATGAAAGTTATATTATGTTCCACTAAAGCGCCGTCTCATATCGAATATTCTGATTTTCAAAGACTACCAAGTATGCTGATTTCTAAATTATGCACATTAATTTCAGCAAACTAAAAAACATTTGTACAAATAGTTTTTACTATTGTAATTTTGGTCTATATGGGTTCAAATTTGCTCAAAGATTAAGGTAGTTGGGTAGCTCCATTTTATAGCTGGATCTAGACTGTCTATTTTGTGGCACTGTAACAAAATCTGTGAAGCTGAGTACTGTATCAAAGGTAAGAGGTTTATTTAGCCCACAGTTTGAAAGTTCACAAGCATGGTGCCAGCCACAGCTTCTGGCGGGTGTCCCATGGTGGAGAGTATTACATGGGAATATGTGCACAGATGGTGAGTGGGAGAAAAGCTCGCACTAGGGGAGAGGAAGCAAGAGAGTAAGGAGAGACCAGGCCAATTCCTTTCCCCATCAGTTTCTGGAGGAACTAGGCTGTTCCTAGTAGACTAACCCATTGTAAAAGACCTTTTCGAATTTCTTCACGTGGGTGGTCATGACTCCATGACCATCCCCAGGGCCCCACCTCATAAAGGCCCCAGCACTGTTTAAACTACAGTCATGATGATTATACATAATATGGTTGTTAAGTCTTTGTTGTATCATGTCTCTATCTGTTCCTACTTTTTCCTTGTTCCTTGCATTTTATTGTGGATTAAGAAATGCTTGATATGATGGGGAAACCCACAGAAACAACTGATCCAAGCTACTGAGAGATCACTGACTCAGTCTGACAAATGGGGAACCTGCATAAGATTGAACTAGACTCCCTTAATATAGGTAACAACGGTGTGACTGGGACAATATATGAGGGCACTGGCAGTGGGTCCAAGATGTAACACTGATGCACAAACTGACTTAGTGGAGCCTATTCTATACTGAGAGATACCTTGCTCAGCCTAGACACAGGGGTGTGGGGGTGGAGAGGTGCCCTGGTCCTGCCTCAGTGAGATTATGGGACAGACTTAGTAGAATTCCTAAGGGAGGCCTTACCCTCTCCAAGGAGCAGATGGGAGGTGGGGGGGAGGGGGGTTGGAGGAGGGAGTGGGAGAAGAGGAGTGAGGGGGAACTCGGATTGGAATGTAAAGATAAATTAATAAAAAATTTCTGAAAAAAAATGCTTGGTAAAGCAGTACTTAAACAATAGGGCCGGAGAGATGGCTCAGAGGTTAAGAGCACTGACTGTTCTTCCAGAGATCCTGAGTTCAATTCCCAGCAACCACATGGTGGCTCACAACCATCCGTAATGAGATCTGGTGCCCTCTTCTGGTGTGCAGGTATATATGGAAGCAGAATGTTGTACACATAATAAATAAATAAAAATCTTAAAAAAAAAAATAGAGCCAGAGAGATGGCTCAGAGGTTAAGAGCACTGACTGTTCTTCCAGAGGTCCTGAGTTCAATTCCCAGCAACCACATGGTGGCTCACAACCATCCGTAATGAGATCTGGTGCCCTCTGCTGGCATGCAGGCAGAAGATTGTATACATAATAAATAAAATCTTTAAAAAAAAAACTTAAAAATATATCACTCATGGGATGTTCTTGAATCAGCAAACTTTTAAGCTGGGCATGTAGGCTTAAATCTCCTATTGCTAAACCTGAGATCTAGCCTTGGTGGTTATTCTATACAATACTTTCTCAGTAAGTTTATTATTCATCCCGAGTAGAGCCCACTCAGCAAATATTTAATGAGTGCTCAGTGGGCCTGCAATGTGTGTATTTGTGCATATGTGTATTTGTGCATGTGCGTGCACACAATCATGAGCATCATGTATGGGTTTCTGTATGTGTTAGTGCAGGTGCACCAGAATCCAGAAAAACGCCTTAGATGTCGCTGAACCTGAGTTACAGGTGCTTGTGAGCCGCTAGTGAGTGCTGGGAACTGAATTCTGATCCTCTGCAAGAGCAAAAAATGCTCTCAGCCACCGAGCTGCCCCTCTAGCCAGGATGGGCTTTCTTTTTCACTATAAAGGATTCAAAAGTGAGTTGGGGGATTGAGGGTGTGGCTCAGACACAGAGCATATGCTTTGCATATGTAAGGCCCCAGGTTCAGCCTCCAGAAGAGCAACAACAAAGCCCAAGGAGAGTAGAAGGTATGACTACCTTCAAAGCGTTTTCTGTGTCATGTAGAGTGCAGATGCACACAAACCTGATGTGATGTCACCACTAAGAACACCCTGCCCAGAATGCAAGCTCCATGAGGTATGTCCCCCAAGTCCACAATGTTCTCGCATCAAAGCTTCTCAGCTAATGCTTATGAGTAGATAATGTGTTAAACAAAAAGAAGATGAAAATGTTGAATGTCTGCATTGAGTTTGGTTCTGGCAGTAGTGTGGATGGAGATAGCATGCGCCTTCTGCAGATGACAAAGCTGAGGCTCAGAGAGCTTATGTGTTCCCTTATTGCCAAACAGCTAGGAGTTGGTGGATGAGACCTCAGGGCTCATGAGAGCCATTTCCGGGGAAGAGATGATGCTTACCTGATGGAATTTTTAAAATTATTTTTATTATTATTATGTTTTACACCCTGAACCACAGTTTCCCCTCCCTCCTCTCCTCCTAGTCCCCCCCCCCCCCCCCCCCCCCCTCTCTCCCCCCCCCCCCCCCCCCCCCCCCCCCCCCCCCCCCCGCGCCTCTGTCTGCTCACTCCCTCCAATCCACTCCTCCCCCGTTTCTCTTCAGAAAAGGGTGGCCTCACAGAAAATTATTATTAATTATGAAAGCTTGGCCTTTAGTTTAGGCTTGTTCTCAGCTAGCTCTTATAACATATATTAGCCTGTTTCTATTAATCTACTTTCTGCCCCGTGGCTTTTTACCTCTCTTCTGTTCTGTACCTCTGACTTGCTCCGAGTCTCACTGGCATTTGCCTAGTTCATCCTGAGATCCTGTCTGCCTGAAAGTCCTACCTCACCTCCCCAGCCTAGCTATTGGCCATTCAGCTCCTTACTAAACCAATCAGGTGCTAAGACACAATTTGCTCAAATATTCCACAAGAAGGCACCTCCCCTGGTAGTAAGGTTGGACAAAGTAACCCAGTATGAGGAGTAGGGTCCCAAAAGCCAGCAGAAGAGTCAGAGACAGTCCCTGCTCCCCTTGTTAGGAATCCCACAAGAAGACCAAGCTACACAACTGTAACATATATGCAGAGTGGAGCTGGGAATCCTGAAGAAGAGGGGGAGGAAGGATTGTAGGACCCAGAGGGATCAAGGACACCACAAGAAAACCCACAGGATCAACTAACCTGGGCTCATGGGGACCCACAGAGACTGAACCACCCACTAGGGAGCCTGCATGTAACTGATGCAGTAGAGTTTTCTATCCTATGTAGACATTTTAGCTGGAGAATTGTGTCTGAGGTGCTTCTTCCTTCTTACCTGGCCTCACATCCACAGAAGCTCATGGAAGAGCTGCAAAATTAAGAAGTTACGAACTGGGCACCTTGAAAGTAACCCACAGTTCACCACCCTTCATTCAGCAATCACTAAAGAAAGAGAATAAAAAATTGAGCCAACTCTTCAGTGGCGCCCCAAGGTTAAATGTCTCTGCCTCTTTGTTCAAGGATGCCTGTGAGATGCTGATGAGCGCAATTCTGGAAGAACTGCAGAAGAGAACTCAAGCCTCTCCCGAGCCAGCATCACTAAGAAAGGACTTCCGTCAGCCTCCTGACCCCCAGGGCTCTGGACGTGCTGGGCTCGTTATCACGGGGAAGACCCTGGAGTTTGCCTTGCAGGAGGGTCTGCAAAGGCAGTTCCTGGAGCTGACTGCATGGTGCCAAGCTGTGGTCTGCTGCCGAGCCACACCCCTTCAAAAAAGTGAGGTGGTGAAATTGGTTCGAAACCATCTCCATGTTATGACCCTGGCCATCGGTGAGTGGAGGTGGGAGGGTGGGCACCCTGCCTGGCATTCTCTGTTCTATGGCCTTTGCCTGTCCTTACTTCCATCTAACCTTATAATTCCGTATTTCCTTTTCCAGCTGTATTTACTTTGCTCCCCTCCACCTTCTGTCTGTACTGTTTCACTCCCTCCCAGCCTCTCGGACTGCCTGCTGTGAACCTTGTTTTAGGGAAAGAACACAGAGAACAGTATGGTAATATTCTTTGGGTTGTATTTTAGACCCCAGATCAACTTGGTTAAATAAGGATTCGGGGAACCGAAAAACCTTAGGATTTCTACTTTCAGGAAAGTTAAATTTAGGAATACAAAAAAAAAAAAAAAAAAAAAAAAAGTATCCATTCAATGAGTGCTTTTGAGTGGCATTTTCATACCAGGGTTCCCCCATCTTAGACAATAGTAATAAAACAGTATCTATAACTGATACCTTTCTTACAGAGTTTATGTCTAGTAGGAGGCTACATAGTATCACAGATGTACAACTAAATGTTAACAAATGCTATTAAAAAAGGGGGGAGGGGGAATAAGATTTGCCATTTTAAATTAGGTTCCCAGAGTAGAACCGTCTGCTTGGGCTGTCTGAGTAAAGACATAAAGGAAATGACAGAAGAGTAGCTGGAGACCAGGGATAAACATGCCTACTAGGCAGCACAGCAAAGAAAAAAGCCAAAAGACGGTATGTGCCGCTCATGGCCAATGCAGACTGGGAGTGTTTTCTACAGCTCAGTGTGTGGCAGAGAGGTGGGTGTGGTCAGGCCACATCGGGTCTGGAAACGGGAGTGAGGGAGCCAGTGGAAAATGTTTGTCTGAGGAGGGATCTGCCTTATATTTAGAAGGATCACATCATCGCCCTCTGTGTGAGAATAGACATGCTACAAGGACGTAAGTGAGGAAAATATTTGGGAGGCTGTTTAAGTAATTCAGACAAGAGACGGCAGCTTGGGCCCAGATAGGAGCAGAGGAGGAAGTGGGACAAGGTCAGACGATTGAGACACTGACATTTGCTGATGAATAGGAATGTGCTGTGACAGGAAGAGTTGTCGAAGGGACTACCAGTGTCTTGAGAGGTGAGGTCTGACATTTGGAGATGTGAGGCAGGGGCTTGAGGGATGGGCTCTTAAAACTTACTTAGTTTGAAAAGTCTTTGGCAGTGATGTCAAGTATCCAGCTGGAATACAAATCTGTAACTTATCAAGCAAGAATTGGCCGAACATAAAAATTAGTGAATTGTAGGTCCAGGTTTGGCATTCTAAGACCATCAAACAATGAGTTTCAATGGACATGATAACATGCCATGGAATTCTTCTATATACGAGTGTTTAGGTGCTATGGGGTGGAATTTGGTCCATTCTGTTTATACATGGAAATGAATGAAAATTTACCTGAAGCCAAACTCTGGGACTTTATTAATTAAATCAGTGTCCATCTTTAGGAATCACTGAAGGTAGGGAAGACAAGATGTTGACTTCCAGGTCTCATGCAGTTTCCCATCCATAAATTCACACTAACAAACCATTCGGGGCTGAGAGTCAGTGGCCCTTTCCGGAAAACACTTGCTCGTTACCTGAAGGAACATTAATATCTGGAAGAGAATGCTAGTGTTGCGGTGACTCTGGACACCACTGTAAAGCCACATGGTAGAGAGGGTGGGCCACACCGGGGGGCTCTAGAGCCTAGTGGGGCGGCTGACTTAAAGGGAACCCAAAAAGGATTTTTCTAGAGAAAATGACATGTAAACCAAGCCTGGGTAAATCAGCAAGATGGGAGTGATGGGGACAGTGTTACAGAAGCAGGGAAATGACCTGTGTAGCAGCCAGAAAGAGCAGGATGTATCTAGAAAATTGAAAGTAGAATGATGACATGCAAAGGGGATGGACCAGTCTAAGATGGTCTCACAGTGTCTTGGATAATTGTCAACTTGGCATAAGTTTAGAGTTTCTCGATTGAGAAAATGTGTCCCTAAGATTCGCCAGGGGGCAAGTCTTAGGGGCCGTTTTTCCAACTAGTGATTGATTTGGAAAGGTCCAGCCACCTGGGAAATAAGTGAGTGTGCCACCCCTGGGAAATAAGTCCTAGGGTGTGTAAGAAAGCAAGCTAGGAAGAGGAATCCAGTAAGCAGCACTTCTCCATGGCTTCTGCATCAGTTCCTGCTTCCAGGTTCCTGCCTCGAGTTCCTGCTCTGACTTCCCTCAGTCATGAATTAAGATTTGTGAGGTGATAGAAGCTCTTCCCTCTCCCAGTTGCTCTTTTGATCATGGTGTTTTATCACAGCGTAGAATCCTAAGATACGCAACATGAAGGATTTGAAGACAGCATTGAATTTGGAATCTTTCCTGATGGCAGTGAGATGCTAGGTTTAATTCTGCTTAACTAGTTTCCAACTCTGGAAAATGGGATAGAGCTCAAAGGACCAGTGTGTTCTCTTGAATAGTCACTTGATTTGCAGTTCAATCCTCACACGTGTCTTGTGTTTTCTTCTGCCTCATGAAGGTGATGGTGCAAATGATGTTAGCATGATACAAGTGGCTGACATTGGGATAGGTGTCTCAGGTCAAGAAGGCATGCAGGTGAGTACACACACACCTAACTATCATGACCATTTGCTCACGAAAGAAAATATCTCACTGATAAAATCATAGTGGGACAGTAGGACTGTGGGATAAGGAGTGAGAGAGGCTGAACCTTCATCCATTCCACCATTGGTCACGTGAATAGTGTGTGGTCCTGTCTACTACTGCTGTGTTCATGTGTTCTGTTTTTTTAAAAGCTTATATACATCATAAAATTTCATTTTGTAGGCATGTGATAGCTTTGCTAGATTCTCCCCCCCCCAAAAAAAAACCCAAAAAAATCTACTATGGTTTGAATACATGACATGAAGAATATAGAGGATGGGGAAGGAAGAGAAAGGATAGGAAACATGAAAGAATGAGAAGGTGTGAAGGTCTGTCTCTCTATATGTATGTATTTTGTGGATATATGTATGTGTGTATATGTATGTGTATATGTGTGTGTGTGTGTGTGTGTGTATGTGTGTGTGTATATGTGTGTATGTATGTGTGTATGTGTGTGTGTATGTATGCTGTGTGTATGTTTGTATGCATGCATGTGGGTATATATGTATGTGTATGTGCATATATGTGTGTATGTATGTGTGTGTGTATGTATGTGTATATGTATGTGTATGCATGTGTATATGTATAGTCTCTCTTTCCAGATCTACTTGGGAGGTAAGTTAACTGATTTGGGTTAACTGATAGTCAGGCTATACTTGCTAGGCTGTGTGTGTTTTAGCATGTTCCATTGCTCAGTATAGTCTTCTCTCCCTGCTTCCTCTGCAGGCCGTGATGGCCAGTGACTTTGCCATCTCTCAGTTCAGGCATCTCAGCAAGCTCCTTCTTGTGCATGGACACTGGTGTTACACACGACTCTCCAACATGATTCTCTATTTTTTCTACAAGAATGTGGTATGTACCTGCTGAGAAATTTACCACTGCCTCTCCAATCCAGCTTCTACTCTTGTTGCCTCAGGGATGACTGGATGTGTTCAGATTGCTACCTGGAGAATAGCCAGAAGCTGTTCTCATGTCTTTCCAGAGATAATTGGGGAATGTGTGTGTTTGAACTGTTGACAACAAATTGCTAGGCCTGTCCATCTGCTGGCACCCTCTGCTCCCTGCGCATTTACATTGCATTAAGTCCTGACTGGTTCATTTAAAATCCAGTTTTTTGACCTTCTATAAACAGATAGTGACAAGTTATCAGTAGAAAATGAAAAGGTTTGTTTGCTCCTGTGGTACTGGGGATGGCAAATAAATTAATAAACAAGTAAATAAATAAATCTGCTGTTCCTAAATAATGGCTCCTATACTCCATCAAGGACGGGTAGAGATGAAAACCAAACTGCCAGGATTTTCTACCCAGTTCATAAAAGTCTATTTATGTTTAGTAGATATTTTGTGGTCATGGAACTTTAGTGTGGTTGTAGCTTGGAATAATCAAAAATTACTTGGAAATCCTGGTGTCTAATCTTGTTTCATTTAAATTACACATAACTCCCTCCTGCCTTCTCTCCATTCCTCTCTCCCTCCTTCCCCCTTCCTCCTTCTATCCTACCTTCCTTCCTTCTTTTTCTTTTATTCCATAATTTTTTTCAGGCAGTGTCTTGCTGTGAAGCTCTGGATGGCCTGGTATTCACTATGTAGTCCATGCTCACCTCAAATTTGCAACAATCCTCCTACTTCAGCATCCTAAGTACTAGGATTATAGACATATAGCAAAATGCTGGGCTTCAGTTTTCTTTCTCATGCTGACTTAGGCTGACTCATTTTTCTAGATGGACTATGCAGCTACATCATGGTCTTTAGGCTACACTTATTCTTGGTCTTTAAAAGCATAGCATGTTAGCAGGGGCCATACATTGGTTCACTCTATTCATATACCATCTTCAGGGGAAATGCATTTATCCTCTTTAGGATATGCCACAATGTGTAGTTTAGATCTGTGTTTGTGAGTCAGGGTGGGTTTTTCCCTTACAGTACAATGAACTTCTAGAAAGCTCTTGATTCTTTTCTAAATCAAAGTAGCACATTTATTCAAAATAGATACCTTACAAAAATATTTGAATTACCAAAAGTCTTTACCCAGAGAAATCTGTGGCTTGTCATGGGAAAGTTCAAGACATTGTAGTTGTATGGCTTTTAGAAAGAGCTTTTAGAAAGACTTTTAGACTCTCCCAAGGGTTCCCTCTGCCAGTATCTTTGAATTTTCTACTTTGATCATTATTGTGATGCAAGCCATCCTTACCTCCTGTTTTTAACCCTTACTAAATCCAAGGTTTGAGAAACACAAATATTAGGAAGAAATACCATAGCTCTTAGAGATGGAGGGCCCTTTAGTTAGAAGACAGGACATACCATGGGGAAGGACTACCTTTCTGCTGTCTATCTACAGATGGACACTTACACTCTAGATTTAATATCTACCCTTTACTTACCTAGTCAGATGGTAATTATGTTGTAAGCTATAAGTCACAGAGATCTGAGTGAGGACCAGGAGTCTTTAAAGTGGCTTAATTCTTGAGACTGTGTTTCTTTGATGTTGGATGACTTATTAATGAATACTCTGGGCTCACACTCCGGAGTAATGCTCCAAACTACATGTATCCAAACTGAAGAGATTTTTAGGACCTGACCCTAATGCCTCTCTCTCCCTGAGCACTAGGTAGAAAATTTCTTTTCTGTGTTTTTTGGCCCCGTGCTAAGGTGTTATGGTGCATCTATGGTGCTAATAACAGCACTATCTTGCTCTTTGGTGGTCTGAGGTTGTAGTTCAGTCAGAACAATGCTTGTGCAGCATGGACAAAGCCCTATGCTGGATTCCCATCACTGAATAAACTGCCTGGTGATAGTGCATGTCTGTATCTTAACACCCTTGATGGAGAGGCAGCCCATCACTGCATAAACTGCCTGTGTGGTAGTGGATATCTGTATCTTCACACTCTCAGTGGAGGGGCAGGAGGTCCAGAACACTGAGGTCAGGCTGGGGAGATAGTTCAGTAGGTAAGAGCTGGATGGAGGAGATAGCCCGAGTTCAAATCCGCAGAACTCACATTAAAAAGCTGGGCTTGCTCAAGCCGGGCAGTGGTGGTGCACGCCTTTAATCCCAGCACTAGGGAGGCAGAGGCAGGTGGATCTCTGTGAGTTTGAGACCAGCCTGGTCTATCCTTCCAGGATAGGCTGCAAAGCCACAGAGAAACCCTATCTCAAAAAACAAAAAACAAAAAACAAAAAAACAACAACAACAACAAAAAAAGCTGGGTTTGCTCATGTACTCCTGTCACCACAGCACTGTTGTGGGTGGAGTTGGGATCGCTGGGCCAACTGATTGCCAGCATAGCTCCAGGTCCAGTGAGAGACCCTGTCTCAAAGGAGTGAGGTAGAATGTGATAGAGCAAGATACGGATGCCCTCCTCTGGTCTCCACTGCACGTACACCATACCACCACCCCCCCACACACACACAAAGTGAAAGAAGTTTAAGGTCATCTTTGGCTAAAATTGGATGGTTTCTTGGGAAACATGGGGAGGTAGCTGCCCTAAATGGAATAGGAGGCCAACCTGATCTGTAGACCTTGCAATAATATAATAGTGATGATGATGATGATAATAATAATAACTTATTTTTGATGGTTAGTCCTAAGGTAATATAATTTTGATTGCACACAGGATTAAATCAGAGTTTGTAGAGGTTCATAAAGTGAATCAAACAACAGATAATCCCCTGAAATGAGAAACAACCCCCAGGACCTCAGTCCAGTGCTCATCCCTTTGCCCTGCTTGAAAACAATGGGGTTTTGCTGCAGTGGAAAGACTGACCTCCAGGGTTGCCACCTCTCCATGTTTTCCAAGGGACCATCTGATTTTAGCATGAGAATCCCATGCTTTGAGAACCTCTCAGTCCCGGGATAACTGGATGCTGGCCACTCAGTTGACAATCTTCCACTTAACCATTAAGAAATAACTGGGCAGGAAGGTAGAAAAACAAATGTGTGGTGTGCCTTCTCTGAGCCAGACACTCGTCTTTGTTCTCTTTGTCTAGAACAAAAACATCCTCAACTCTGCCACTTACATGGCAAATAAGCAGCTGGATAGCTTTGTGCAAGTTTCTTATTCTCTTTGGGTTTCAGTGGCCTAGTTTATTCAGCCTGCAATAATTAAGTACCACATTAATAACTTGCAGCAGTCTAAGGGCCAGAGGTCTGAAATCAGGGAGTGGGTGTGGTTGGGCTTTGTTAATGGTCCTGTTTGGCTACATCCTTTCTGGGGAGAGGAAAGCCTTCAGAGGTATGTTTTATAGAAATGCTAATCCCATTGGCACGGGCTCTAGCATGATGACCTAAATACTTTACCATCTGACTTCCCCTCCTAACATCACACTAGAGACTAAGATTTGCATGTGTGTATTTTGTATTTAGTTCATCATCTGTAAAATGGCAGCAACAGTAATTCCCAAGTTGTTGTGAAGATTAAATGAATTCTTTGTCAATTATTTAGAATAGGGCCAGCACCACATAGTACTGGTGTGAGGATGTATATAATTTGCTCAGATACTCACTAAAATGAAAACAAAATTAAAGAACTCCATGGTAAGTTGTGTTCTTCATCTTCGGTTGACAAAGCTGAGGAGAGGCTGAAGGGATGGGACTCAGACATGCAGTGTGGGGTGTGTTCTGAGTGTGCACTGATGTCTCTAAGCTCTGAACATCTGTCTTTGTGTTCCCAGGCCTATGTGAACCTCCTCTTCTGGTACCAGTTCTTCTGCGGGTTTTCAGGAACATCTATGACTGACTACTGGGTTCTGATCTTCTTCAACCTCCTCTTCACGTCTGTCCCCCCCATCATTTATGGCGTGTTGGAGAAAGACGTATCTGCCGAGACCCTCCTGCAGCTGCCTGAACTTTACCAGAGTGGTCAGCACTCAGAGGTAAGTGTCCAACAGAAATGTGTCAGCAGATGTATAGCATGGTGAAAGCCAGCGTGTTTCCAGTCATCCAGGCTCACATATTATAGGGTCATCAGGACAATTTAGCATGCCCAGTTGCTTTCAATGCTCTATGATAGTGGTTCTCAACCTTCCTAATGCCAGGACACTTTTATACAGTTCCTCATGTTGTGATGATCCCCACAACCTAAATACTCTACCATCTGACTTCCCCTCCTAACATCATCACACTAGAGACTAAGATTTCCATGTGTGTATTTTGTATTTAGTTCATCATCTGTAAAATGGCAGCTGTAAAATGGTATCATTGCTACTTCATAACTACAATTTTGCTGCTGTTATGATTGGCACTGTAAATATCTGATATGCAACTCCCCAAAGGAGTCACAACCCATAGGTTGAGAACCACTGCTCTATACTCCCATGACAGATGTTAATCCAGTGGCCCATGGTTTTTATGAACTTATCAGAAGAAATTCACAGTTTGCTACCTTGCTCATGGCAGCTGACATTTGTTAAACCCCACTCACTGCAAAACCTGTTATGGTGTCCAGCAAACATTCTCTACCTTGTTTATCCTCACTCTTTTTTTGAGACAGAATCTAGTGTTTTTCCCATTCCAGAATGAGGAATTTGAGCCTCAGATGTATTAACTAATTTGCAGAGTTAATAAATGATAGTACCAGGATGTGAAACCAGCTCAGTCTGGCTCCCAAGCCCAAGTTAATTCTTCAGTGTCTAGTGTCACACAGGACAGTAGTCATCTCAGTGGCTTCCATCTTCACTCCACTTATCTCTGGGTCCTGGCTCAAAACTGCCTCCTCTCCTGCTTCCCTGCTTCTGCTGCTCCATTATTGTCTCTCCACTAGAGGATTGTTGGTAGTAGGCAGGGGTAGCCTGGGGTGGCTGTCTAAATACTCTTGTTTCCAATTTATCTTTTGAAAGATTAATAATGGCCTACTTGGATATATCAGGAAATTTACGTGATGGAAGACATAGTTCTAAGTGCTTAACATAATCTAATCCCCAAATACCCCACAAGGGTGGGTCTGCTGTTTTCTCTACTTTGTAGGTGTCACAAGTCAAGCACAAGGAGTTGTATTTAGTAGCTGTTCTTGGTGTTGAGCTAGTGTTACAGTTCATCCCGACATCCAGGTCCAAGGTGTGCCTTTGTGCTGTGTGGCAGAAAGAGCGCTACTCTGATGGTCACTTTAGTCCTCGGGCTTTCCCACGGTGGTGTTTAGGACAGAATGTAAAGTGTTATTGTAGGAGCATTGTGCAGCTACCAACAAAGGAGGGCAAGGAGCCTTAGACCACCTATGTATGGGCAAAGCTGAGCAGCCTCAAGTGGTCACGTGTTCCAGTACTGAGAAGGCCGATTGTCAGAGTTCTCCCATTTGTAATGGACAAAGAAAAAAGGAAGGAAGGAAAGAAGAGGGGAAAGGTAAAGCAAAAAAACAGAGGAAAATAAAAATCAGCCCAAGCTAACCCAATAAAAAAGAGAAATGTATTAACACACGTAGCTACAAAATCCAGGGCAATGGGAGCAGCATATTTTCCTCTAAGCAATTATAAATGTCTGGCTTCAATGTTTTAGCCAAGATCTTGTCATTCACCTTCTCCAGTACTTACCACCAAAGATAGAAATGTCTTCTTGTTGCCCAGTTTTGGGGTGGGTGTCATTCCCAGAGACACAGCTGAAACAGGTAGGCCAATGGGTTGCAAAGCACTGGGCAGAGCCGGGTGAGATAAGCCACCTGAACACTGTGTGCTGGTCCCTGGAGGCAACTTTGAAGCCACTGACACAGATCAGTGTGGGTTGGGAATAATGGAGTGTTTACATTATGGTTCTCTGCTGTGTGACCTTGCTTAGCTCTTTACCTTGCCCATGCTTCAGTTTGTTTACTTTCTGGAAATGGTGTAAGACTAAGGAAGATGGCATATATAATGTTTCCAGCCACATTAAGAACTTGGTATTTTTATTTTAAACAATTGGGCTGGAATCATAAATTTGATGAAAGAGATTTTAAATGATGCTTTTATTTTCTTAAACTTTATATTGGCTTGAAAAACATTTCTGAATAGGCGGATGTTTCAGTGTCCACACCTAACAGACACAGACAACAAAGTGATGTCAAGTCACACATGCAGCTTGCAGAAGGAAGAGATCTGTGTAAGTCTTTACTGGCACAGGGTCCACTCAAGCCAAACAGCCACATGAGCTTCCCCAAGGTCATCCAGTCTGCTTTTAGTTCAAGGCTCAGATGCTGGACTGTACAATAAGAGCCACTGAACATAGCCTTGGAACTCAGACCCCAGCTACATTCCATTTCCACTGAGAAAGGCCAGATTGTATAGATTAAGACCAAGTCAGTCTTGTTCTTGGGAGAATTGAGCTCATTGCTTCTAGTACTTGAATCCTGTGGTCATTTCTTTGTGCACATTTGTTCTGTTGTGCTAACCAGTTTGATGAAACACAATCTCCAACACAGTCACATGGGATAAGGTGGTTCTGTTGAATTCCCCTTCCAGGATCTGTCGTTTCTTTAAACTTGTCCTCCAAGGAAGTTCTGTGTTATATGTGGGTCACGCCCCTTCAGCACCTCTCTCCTCCAAGGGATATGAATTTGGAAGGGCACAGTCAGAGGATTCCCTTCCCAACAGCAGTCACTCTTCTCCACCACTCATCACCCACACAGTCTTCATGTCGGGCTTTGCTTCATGTTTGAATTTTCAATTTAGTTTCATGAGATTCTGCAGCTTAGTCCCCAGCTTCCCATTTATTGTCTCCTTAACCTTTCCACTCTTTACTTCTGGAAGTCATCTTCTTGTGGCTTCATTGTGGGTTTCTTGTTCAACTGTAGAAATGTGACATTGTGTTTTAATTTGTTCTCAGTCACTGAGGTCCAGTGATGTTTTGGGTATCCCTTTGAATCAGAAATATTTTCTTCTACCATGCTACTGATGGGATTTTATGAACACTTAGGTGACAAAAGATCCAGAATATCCTTATAATTTCCAGTAAAGAAATAGTAAAAGAAGATGCAGGGGATTATAAACTGGAAACAATAAATATTTGTTTTTGGATTTTACAGAAGTCAAAGACAGAGAAATAGAACTATATTATATAAATGTTCAAAGTGTAGTCCTTTGAAAAATAGGAGAAGGTATATGGGTCATGTGTATATTTATAAAGTTTTATTCTTTAGGGGACAATAAGATTTCCCAAGTATATTTCTGTCTCTGTTTACATTTGGGGAAAAAAAAAAACTAAGAAGGGCACGTTAAGAAATGACAATATCAGGAATGACATTTGTAGTTCCTTTCTTGCCTGCGAACACTTGCCAAAGAAGCAATAGTCTTCCTTTCTGCTGGCTCTGAGTGCTTCCTCAGAATCCATCTGCACACGTCACCACAATCCAATCAGTGGTGACACTGGAGTGAGAACTCATTTTCAGTTGCTGGCTGCTTTCTCTTGTGGTCTTTCTCTTTCTACAGGCTTTGGATAGAAAACAGCGACATTAATAAAGAATAGCTAACTAACCTAATAAATAGTTCTTGAATACCTGCTTTGTGCAAAGTATTGTTTCAGTCACTTGAATACAAGAGCCTGAGTTTCACTCTGACAGCAACCTAGAGTAAGAAGTCCAGGGAGGGAATGGAGACAAGAGACTCGAGAGAATGACCACAAGACAGGATTCTGATCAAGTGGCAAATTTTATTTTTTCAGGCAAGCTTATATAGTCAGTAGTATGGGGTAAAGGGGAAGGAGAGAAGAGGCCAAGAGCAGGAAGTTAGAAAACTATAGAAGGAGGATATTGTCAGGGTAAAAAGTTCATGGGTGGTGAACTTGGGAGAGGGAGGGTTACCTAGGTAAGTGGTGGGATGAAGGAGGGTTGCTTAGGTAAGTGGGCCTGTGGTTGGAACAAAGGATTGATGTCTGGGTCATGTTGTTCCTTCTGGGTGATCATGCTTCTCGAAGCCATTTATAATCAAAAGACAGTTCTAAAACTGTGTGGCCTGCCAAGTTTGGCCTAAAGGTTCATGCCAAGCTGTATGGCTCCCAACTTTTTCCCCTTCCTTGTATTAAAGGAAAAGGCCAAGTTTTGCAGCACAGGGGAATAGAGGCCTGGCCCCCTAGCAGATTGGGCAGGGTAGACTCTTGTGCCCCTCAGGACAGGTACTTAGATCCATCCTGGGGGTTTTATAGCTCGATGTTCTTTTGTGGGGGCGGGGAGATGGAACATCGTTGCACACAGTCATTTTCCTCGAAAGGTGAGATCTTAATCTTTCTGCAGTACCATGCAGGTCTGCACCTCTGAATCTGGCCATGGGGGTCGTGAGGTTAGTTCTGTTTCCTGGGGGAACAGCCGTAGGCAAGGTCCTCCTCCTTGGAGGAGAGTTTATGACAATGAACCTGAATAGGCCTAGTGAAGACTCTACCTGCTGTTTGATAAAGACCACTAGTTGGTTGAAGGCCCAAGGACCAAAAGGATACCAATAGCAGAAGTCCCAGAAGGGTTTCCAGGAAGGAAGGTAGGAGGGTGCTAAGCCATGGAGAAGTGGAGAACCAGTTTTGGTACCAGGCTTCCTGTTGTTCTCTTGCCTTTTGGCATCTTTTAAGCCCTCTCTGACTCTGGCCATGCTATCTTTAATGACTCCTGAATGGTTAACGTAAAAACAACATTCCTCTCTGAGGGCAGCGTGGAGGCCCCCCCTTGTTGGAGGAGGTGTAGATCTAGGCCTCTTCTGTTTTGTAGGACTACCTCAGCTGGAGTTGTAGGGATTCTTCTAAGTAGGCTATCTGGTTTTGAAGTTCCTTAACATCGGGTCTATAGTGGCACAGAGCTCAGTATAGTTGGATGGGCCAATGATGAGGGAAGAGATCCCAGTACCCACTCCTACAGCTCCCAAGTCGAGGAGGACTGTAATTGTAACTGCTGATATAGGTTCCCTGCAGCTTAGAGGATGGGACAGGGCAG